CATCTTTCTAGCCAATCTCCTTATTTTCCCTCTAAGACTTTGAACACACCCCCTCCAGGAAAATACCTAACTAAAATGGCTTCCCCCAGCACCCTTTTCCAAAATGGACACCGTGGCTTCCCAAGGCCTACTCCCTTAGGCTTCAGCCAGTCAGCTAAGGTAAGGGATTCATTACATCATGCTACCCCTCTATTCTGCTTGGTTAGACCACACCTGGAATACTGTGTCCAATTCTGGGCTCCACAATTGAAGAGAGATATTTACAAGCTGGAATGTGTCCAGAGGAGGGTGACTAAAATGATCAAGGGTCTGGAGAACAAGCCCTATGAGGAGTGGCTTAAGGAGCTGGGCATGTTTAGCCTGCAGAAGAGAAGGCTGAGAGGAGACATAGCCATGTATAAGTAAGTGATGGGAAGTCATAGGGAGGAGGGAGCAAGCTTGTTTTCTGCTGCCCTGGAGACTAGGATGCAGAACAATGGCTTCAAACTACAGGAAAGGAGATTCCACCTGAAGATTGGAAAGAACTTACTGACTGTGAGAGCTGTTCAGCAGTGGAACTCTCTGCCCGGAGTTAGGTGGAGTCTCCTTCTTTGGAGGCTTTTAAGCAGAGGCTGAATGGCCTTCTATCAGGGGTGCTTTGAATGTGATTTTGCTGCTCTTGTCAGGGGTTGAACTCGCTTCCAACTCTGTGATTCTATGATTTGCATTGGGATATACGTATATTCCGGCATATAAGATGACTGGGCATATAAGACGACCCCCAACTTTTCCAGTTAAAATATAGAGTTTGGGATATACTCGCCGTATAAGACTACCCCTCTTCCAATGCACACCAAATAAAATTTTTAAAAGCATCAGATTTGATTTCAATATGGTAATTTTCCTATTACTGTACCTCCTTCTCTGCCTCTCAGATCTCGCACATGCGCACCTGCACCGCTTCACTGCAGTCTTCAGGAGCGAGATCTGAGAGGCAGAGGAGGAGATGCGGTAATAGGATACAAGGGCGAGCCAGACAAGTAAAAGAGTTGTGTTTTGCTGGGCCCAGAACCACTCTCTCTCTTTTTTTCCATACCCCGGAGGCCTGCAGCTTGCTTCACCCTTCACTTACACCTTCCCGGTGAGGCACCCGTTCACCTCACCATCAGGACCGCATTAAGTCCACGAATCCTGATGAATGGATTTTCTTCTACCGTACTTGTACAGCGTCACCCTTAATGCTTTCATACTGTCGCTGCCACTGCCATTTTTGAGCTCCCCCCACAATATGCAGCAACCACAGATTCTCCAATCCGGATTGGAAGTTTCAGCACCCGCTCTATAAGACGACTCCCAGCATATAAGACTACTCCCGCATATAAGACGACTCCCATGCATAAGGCTACTCCAGTGTATAAGACGACCCCCATGCATAAAGACTACTCCCGCCTATAAGACAACTCCCGCATATAAGATGACCCCTGACTTTTGAGAAGATTTTCTTGGGTTAAAAAGTAGTCTTATACGCCAGAATATACGGTATACGTGTCTCACGCAATTTATGCCTCCATAGCTAAGTCTTCTGCTGCCCCCAAATCTTCCTGTGATTGAATCTTCCGATCTTCTTATCATTTCCCCCCCAAAACAGAAAATGGATAGTTCCTACATAACATCCCTGTTTTTGAATCTTTGGAACTGCAAAAAGGTGTGATACCAAAGATATAAAACTATTTACTTAGTAGAAGTTTAGTGTTTAATTTTAATGCTGCTTTTTTCCCTCAAATATATTCCAGGAATCATCAGGTTTCACGAGGACAATTACGATCTTAAGAACCCCACCTTTTTCATGTTTGCAGAGAACGATGATTTTGTTCCTCTAGACCAGGTACGGTGTTCTTTCAAAAAGTATAGTTGACAAATAGTAATGCAGAAACAATGTATAAGACTACAAAAATTACCTGTGGAAAATGAAGTCTATGGACACAGTGTATCCGTCTTTCTTACATTCCAAAGTGTTTTGTATCCTAGCGCACTGCTTCTTAAACTGTGGGTCCCGACACCAAATGGGGTCTTGCTAGCTGAATCTTGGGGTTATGAAAAAATAAGCAACAGTACAAGACATCTGAATGCCACACATTTACACAAATCTATTAGCAACTACATGATAATTAGTACAATTCTGTTGTGCATTATTTATAGTGGATTCTGCAGAAATGCTTCAGTTGTATTCCACAAAAAGGAAACTCAACCTCTTTAGCAAGCTTTGCAAATGCTGATTTATTATCAGTAAATATTTGATTTTCTATCTAGTTTTTCTTCCTATCTACCTGGGATCACACAAATCTTTAGACGCCATGCTACAGTGGACAGAGCAAATGGTCCCTTCAGGTATTTATAGGTCATGTCTAACCAAAAATTACATAGTTTTGGCTGTTTTGTTTTTTAGAAATGCATGACCTTTTAGAGATCATAACCTTTTGGAAAACCAGGAATCTCCATAGCCTATTGGAACCGTGACCCTTTGGAGACTAATTGGCACAATCATAACCTTTTGTAAAGTATGATCTTCCTAAGTATAGTTAAATACTCATTTGAGTGAGTCTTCTCCTTAGTGATAAATATCTGCTAGTATTCACGCAAAGCAAATTAGGCTTCTCAGTTGTTAGACTGAGATGTCTGGTTGTCTCTCTGAACTGTTAGGAAAGAAGATATGCCAATTCACAAAATATATAGCAGGTCTTCAGAAGTGTTATTTCAGTTGCCCCAGGTAAAGGTAAATGTTTCTCCTTGACAGTAAGTCTGACTCCGGGGTAGTACTTCTCATCTCCATTTCTAAGTTGAAGAGCCGGTGTTGTCCATAGACACCTCCAAGGTCATGTGGCCGGCATGACTGCATGGAGTTTTTTTTACTCGCCGAGAGTAGAAAAAACATCTACTCTCCCATAAAATATATTGCTTTTTAATGCTCTCAAGAGATCAAAAATAAGTAGTCTTCATTCAAAGTAACATAATTGATTTACTTACAAACTTCATGTATTCAGCATACAGGTACATTTCTTATTGGTTGAGAGTTTAAACAGTAAGTTCTCTAAAGCATTCTGTTTCAGTCTCTTCTTTGTTGCATACAGACTAACACTCTCTTCAGTCTAACACATTACTGAACATTGACTCAATACAGACTGACTATACTCTGCAGCATGCTGACTATCAACTGCATACTAACACTGCTGACTTCATAAGCTGTACTGTACTGATGCAGAACTGGCTTCTAAAATGGAGTCTTAGTCTGAATAGTCCCAGATCTGGACACATGGTCTGCAGTCTCTCCCACAACCTCAAACAACATAGAGTTATGGGAAAAACTGCATAGCAATATATACATACAATATAGTAAGCAATCACAATTATATACATAACAAATAACTAGTTTAGGATGCTTGTAGAAGGTTGCTATTTCTCTCTTTCTTAAATAGTGGAAAAACAACTAAACTTACTTTCATATTTGAAATTGTTTGTCTATATTTGGGTGAGAAAACCTATGAGGAGAGTTAGATTAATGAGAAGGAAATGCTATTATGCACGTGGCTAAAAGTTACAATGCAGGCAAGCTGTTTCTAGGGGAGAAAGGAATGAGATAATATTATGCCAATTCATGTTGCAACATAGCATCACAAATAGCACTTATTTATTAATTATTTTATTTATTTACAACATTTGTATACCACTTTTCTCACCCCAAAGGGGACTCAAGGCAGTTTCCACATAGGTAATGACAAAATTCAATGCCAGCACAAACAATTACAATTATACAATTACAGTTAGACATAAATCAAATTAAAATACATCCATAAACAGTAAAACAATAATTAAAACAGTAAAACAGTTTCATCCGTCGAATCGCCGTTCCAGTCATTGTCTTTCCGAAATGCTGCATAGATTTGTTTCTACTGCCCGAAGGCCTGGTCCCAAAACCATGTTTTTAATTTTTTCCTAAAAGCCAGGAGGGAGGGAGCGGATCTTACCTCATTTGGGAGAGTGTTCCATAGGCGAGGGTCACAGCCGAGAAGGCCCTGTCTCTTGTCCCCGCCAGGCGCATTTGCGCTGTTGACAGGAGCGAGAGCAGGGACTCCCCGGATGATCTTAGATTACAAGGTGGGACATAGGGGTAGATACGTTTGGACAAGTAAGCTGGGCCAAAACCGTATAGAGCTTTATAGGTCAAAACCAGCACTTTGAATTGGGCTCGGAGATGGACCGGCAGCCAGTGGAGCTGGCATAACAAGGGGGTGGTATGCTCCCTGTATGCCGCCCCACTTACAATACTTTTAGCAAGTATGTTTTTTAAACAAACTGTACACGGTAAAAGAAAAATTGAAGCGGAAATACAGTAAATTGATTTCTTGTCCTATGGTCTAAACAAAGTTAGGAATTTCCTGAAGTAAGTATGGCTGCTTTGTTATTTGCTTCAAAATATATGTATCAAATTGGAAGCCTGGCAGGCTAGAATTTTCTTCCCTAAGACATTCAGTTTTTAGCCTTCTTTCTCTATTTTCTAGCCTCGTGACTGATGCAAAATGTTGCATCCTTTGTCATTCCTAAGACAAAGGAAAGCCTCAGACATATGAGGAATATGAGTTTAAAGTCTGTTATTAGTCTCAACTAGGGTAGATGACCTGAATAAATATAAATTGTTGTTATTCTTGTTATTATTATTAGAAACACAACAAGATGAGTCCACAGCAAACAAGATCACTCTACTGGCTGTTGTATTGGATCACATGTCAGACACTTCCGAAGTGTCTAGGACTGTGTGATGTATCGGCAAATAATGCGTGCAGATCCCAGTAGGGTGGCCTTTTGCATCTGGCAGATGGTAATCTTGTCAGCGCTGATTGTGTTTAAGTGTACACCAAGGTCTTTAGGCACTGCACCCAGTGTGCTGATCACCATTGGGACCACCTTGACTGGTTTGTGCCAGAGTGTTTGCAATGCAATCTTGAAATCCTCATATCATGTCAGCTTTTTCAGTTGCTTCTTTTCAATCCTGCTGTCACCTGGGATTGCAACATCAACGATCCACACTCTTTTTTTTAACACAGTTGTGAGGTCAGGAGTATTGTGCTCCAAAACTCTCTGAATTCGGAAGTCCCAGAGTAGTTTGACTTATTATTATTATTATGTTTATCTTTATGTTTATCTTTATGTTTATTTATACCCTGCTTTATGTTTCCTAAATGACAGTCAAAAGTGTGGTAATACTTTTCCGTTACTACAGAACAGTATTAAGGACACACACTTAAGTCTTTGAATCAGAAATAAAGGAAATTTAAGGAGTCTATGCATTGACTTTGTATAACTTTCTATGGAATAAGAGATGAGTCTTGTCAATCGTGGGATGACATTAATTCGGAACCAGTACTAAGAAGATGTTTTCTGTTGTAGGTTGCTGAAGTAGAGCGGAAGCTAAAAGAACAATGCAAAACTGATTATGAAGTGAAAATTTATCCAGGACAAACCCATGGCTTTGTACACCGCAAAAGAGAAGACATTAATCCTCAAGATAGGCCTTTCATCGAAGAAGCAAGGAAGGACATGCTTAATTGGCTGAACAGATACATCTGACAGTCTGTTATATGTTAATACCAATAACCATTAAGATATTAGTTCTCCAGACACACTTTTCTAATTTCTTTGATGAACAATTGTGTTGTAGTTCAGTCTGTGATTGTGTCTGATGTAAATGAGGATGAAAGGTTTTCTGAGCCTGTATTTGGTGTCAATGAGAATTAGGGTTTTTCTGGGACTGAGTCAAGCCCAGGCCTTGCTGAGATGTCCGAGGTTTCTCATGAACAAAGTGCTTCTCCTGCAGATTCCCAAGGTCAAATTCCTGGGAGAGGCCCACAGCAGTCTTTCTCTGAGAAACTGTCTTCTGAGGATGATTTGTCAGGTGTAGAATTTAATTAGTGTAAAGATAGAAAACAAGACTTTGGTAAACTGAGACAGACAAAAATATTCCTGGAAAAGAAAGATAAATTCTTATCTGATTGTAAGAGCAGTGGAATGCTTTCCTTTTGATTCTTGGGACAGGAAAAGCTTTATATTGAAACAAGGGGAGGGTTTTGGCTCACTCTCATCAACGTTCATGATCATCTTTCTTCAAGTGGATTTCTAGTTTTATGTTTCACGTTTTGCCAGGTTCCTGTTTCATCTATTTGATTTCCATGCTGTCTTGTTCTCTGGATTTTGCATGCTTGGATCTTGTGTTTTTACCTTTGTACCTTGAAGTTCATGAACTATCTCTTATCCTTGGATTATACTATTTTGGATTATACTGTTTTTACCTTTTTTCTGCTTTGCTTACATATATCCTACAATAAATCATTTGCTGATTTTACTATACTGGTGTGGTGTTTAAGGATAGAAGTGTTTCTGCTCTTGGATACAACAAATTGCAGTGATAAGCATATCTCACATCATGCCATTTCTCCACTGCATAGGCCCATGAACAACATCAACACCTTCCCTTTCTCATAGAAACAGATGTGCATAGATACAGAGAGAGCCAGTTGATGTGTGTTAGATAAACATGCAGTATAATATGCTAATTTTATGAAACAAAGAAAATTCTGGAATCAAGAAAAAAATTAGTGGTGAATATTTCATTATGAATATTGCATCAAATGTTGTATTGCATGTGGATGTAAGGAGTGTAAGTATGCATATGTGCACATATGTTTTAATCATAGAATCAAAGAGTTGGAAGAGACCTCATGGGCCATCCAGTCAAACCCCTGCCAAGAAGCAGGAATATTGCATTCAAATCACCCCTGACAGATGGCCATCCAGCCTCTGTTTAAAAGCTTCCAAAGAAGGAGCCTCCACCACACTCCGGGGCAGAGAGTTCACTGCTGAACGGCTCTCACAGTCAGGAAGTTCTTCCTCATGTTCAGATGGAATCTCCTTTCTTGTAGTTTGAAGCCATTGTTTCCCTAGTCTCCAGGGAAGCAGAAAACAAGCTTGCTCCCTCCTCCCTGTGACTTCCTCTCCCATATTTATACATGGCTATCATATCTCCTCTCAGCCTTCTCTTCTTCAGGCTGAATATGAAAAAATTCTTACAAGAATTCAGAGTTATCCTTTCAGCAATTCTGCACAAAATACTATGTATGGTTTTGACATGCAGCAGAGATTGTTCAGATTATTTCCTGTTTTGAAAAAATGCTTATGGAAAATCTTAAACAGGGCAAATCCAGAAAAACTGACTAAATTTTTTGTTAGTATTCCATTATCTGGGCAGAGACCACTAGGGGGCAGTAGAGAGAGAGAGAAGGATACTCCCTTTCCTCACTTCCTATTTCGAGAGGGTTGTTTACATGACAGGGACATGGGGGGGGGGGATAACAGGAAAACAGGGGGAATGGTTTTCCTCCTTCAACCCGCCCTCCACCCCTGTAAAATGGCCTATCCTTCTCTCTCTAGCGGCCCCTAGTGGCCTCTACATGGATAATGGAACAATATCCAAATTTCTATAGGATGATGGTTTAGAAGAATTTAAATATTTCATCAAAATGTCTTACTTCCACATTCAAATTTACACTGAATAGCATTGTTGAAGTGTTACATTGATCTTTCCATTACTTTCCATTACTTCCTCCATCATTATGAACAAAACAGTAATACAGTGTGACAGGTATATCAACTTCACTGATACCTGCACTATCTAAGCCAGGGGTCCTCAAACGTTTTAAACAGAGGGCCAGGTTACAGTCCCTCAAATTGTTGGAAGGCCGGATTATAATTTGAAAAAAAGTATGAATGAATTCCTATGCACACTGCACATATCTTATTTGTAGTGCAAAAAACACTTTAAAACAATACAATAATTAAAAAGTTTGAGGATATCTGCTATACAGGATTTTCTCTATTGTTTCTTTCCTAAATGTACAATTGAAAATGACACTCTCTTATTGAAAGCAAAACGGCCCTACTCCTTAACAACTACACCTCCTCTCCAACTCTGTCTCCTTCTGAACTCAACCATCAAGTGTGGCCTCCTCCTTAGAGTTTCATCATCTACCAGACCAGAAAAGTACTACTTGTAGGGGGTTACTCCTACATGTCTCTACTCTTCACTAATAGTGAAGATTAGAGACATCACACTGGCAACAAAGATCTGCATAGTAAAAGCATTGGTATTCCCCACAGTCACCTACGGATGTGAGAGCTGGACCATAGGGAAGGCTGAGCGAAGGAAGATAGATGCTTTTGAACTGTGGTGCTGGAGGAAAGTTCTGAGAGTGCCTTGGACTGCGAGAAGATCCAACCAGTCCATACTTCAAGAAATAAAGCCTGACTGCTCATTGGAGGGAAGAATAGTAGAGGACAAGATGAAGTACTTTGGCCACATCATGAGAAGAAAGGAAAGCTTAGAGAAGACATGATGCTGGGGAAAATGGAAGGAAAAAGGAAGAGGGGCCACCAAGGGCAAGATGGATGGATGGTATCCTTGAAGTGACTGGCTTGACCTTGAAGGAGCTGGGGGTGGTGATGACTGACAGGGAGCTCTGGCGTGGGCTTGTCCATGAAGTCACGAAGAGTCGGAAATGTCTGAACGAATGAACAACACCTACATGTTATTTAAAGTTTAAAATAACGTACAAACAATTCAGAGAATTCAAATCAATATACGTTCCCCTCAAATTAAGCATTTTCACTACATGAGACAAATTATATAAGAATAGCTGGCATAAATACCATAAAGTCATAAGATCCTTTTGGATTTTGGAAGCTATGCAGGGTTGGTTCTGGGAGACTACCAATGAATACCAAATGCTGTTGACCACATTACAGAGGAAGAAACCGGCAAAACCACCTCTGAATATTTCTTGCCTGAAAAACTCTACAAAATTCATGGGGGTCACCATAGGTCAAGAGGGCAACTCAAAGGATCACATTTCCATCTACACTCAGAATTTATGTATCAACAAACTTTTACAGTTCAGCAAATACTGTGAGCAAACATCTTCATTGGCGAACATTTCATATGACCACTCTGGCTATAGCCCATTTATTTTGACTAGACAACATAGATATGAAACAAATGTGATTCTTCTCGGTGGGGGCACTTTCACACAGTACCTATAATTCGAGAGAGAGTGGGTTAAAAAGGGGGTGACCAGATGAATTTGTGCTAAACCAGTGTTTCTCAACCTGGGGGCTGGGATCCCTGGGGGGGGTGAGGGGGTGTCAGAGGGGTCACAAAGCCATCAGAAAAACAGTATTTTGTTGGTCATGGGGGTTCTGTGTGGGAAGTTTGGCCAATTCTATCATTGGTGGGGTTAGAATGCTCTTTGATTGTAAGTGAACTATAAATCCCAGAAACTACAACTCCCAAATGTCAAGCTCTGTTTTCCCCAAACTCCACCATGTTCACATTTGGGCATATTAAGTATTGTGCCAAGTTTGGTCCAGATCCATCATTGTTTGAGTCCACAGTGCTCTCTGGATGTAGGTGAACTACAACTCCCAAATCAAGGTCAATGCCCACCAAACCCTTCTAGTGTTTTCTGTTGGTCATGGGGGTTCTGTGTGCCACATTTGGTTCATTGTTGGTGGAGTTCAGAATGCTCTTTGATTGTAGGTTAACTATAAATCCCAGCAACTACAACTCCCAAAGGACAAAATCAATCCCCTCAAACCCCATCAGTATTCAAATTTGGGTGCATTGGGTATTTGTGCCAAATTTGGTCCAGTGAATGAAAATACATCCTGCATATCAGATATTTACATTCATTCATAACAGTAGCAAAATTACAGTTATGAAGTAGCAACAAAAATAATTTTATGGTTGGGGGTTTCCACAACATGTGGAACTATATTAAGGGGTCATGGCATTAGGCCTACACCTCCCAGAAATCCCAATCAGTTTACCAGCTGTTAGGATTTCTGGGAGCTGAATGCCCAAAACATCTGGGGACCCCAGGTTGAGAACGACTGACATAACATGAGGAACTGTAGTAAGGGGTCATGGCATTACGAAGGTTGAGAACCACTGTGCTAAATGCATGCTCAATCACAGCAACAGAGGGAAAACCTGATTCAAAAAGGTCCTCCTTTATCCCAGTTCTGAGCAAAAAAAAAAAGTGGATTTTCCTATGACTGTGTGACCCTGCAGTCATGTAAAGTTTGGGATTTTCCTCTTTTTAAAAAGTCTGAAACAGCTGATTAGCTGTTCGGATTCCCTTGGAGACATAGCTGATTTCCAGCTGGTTTCAAGAGAGGAGGAGAGCCATTAGAACTCTCTGAAAATTTAAATTTAAACTTTATAATATTAAATAAGCAACTGGGGAACGAGGGAAATCCGGTGGCATTTTTTTTAAAAAAATCCTGCCATTATGCACTAATGCAAATATGCAAACATAGGAATCTCTCCATATTTGTATTCAGATATTCACATGTGCATATATATAAGCATCAGCACATAATTGAGTGGAGCCCCCGGTGGTGCAGTGGGTTAAAGCACTGAGCTGCTGAGCTTGTTGATCGAAAGGTCGCAGGTTCGATTCCGGGGAGCGGCGTGAGCTTCCGCTGTCAGCCCTAGCTTCTGCCAACCTAGCAGTTCGAAAACATGCAAATGTGAGTAGATCAATAGGTACCGCTCCGGCGGGAAGGTAACGGTGCTCCATGCAGTCATGCCGGCCACATGACCTTGGAGGTGTCTACGGACAACGCTGGCTCTTTGGCTTAGAAATGGAGATGAGCACCACACCCCAGAGTCGGACACGACTGGACTTCATGTCAAGGGAAAACCTTTACCTTACCTGAGTCATTTTTAAAACCTCTGGCAGTTGTCCTCCACCCACTCTCCATTTTATCCTAAGACACAGAACGACTGTGACGGCGGCGGGAGAAAAAAGCCTGGGACTGGCAGGTCTGTGTGGGGACTTGCTCTGAGGGCCCGGGTTTGTTTATCCTGCTTATTAATCCTGCATTTTGGCATTGTCTGGAAGCGCCCCAAATATTCATTGCTGAATAGGATGAGTGGCTATCCTGGCACACTCCCTCTCGCCCTTAGAATCATAGAATCAAAGAGTTGGAAGAGACCTCATGGGCCATCCAGTCCAACCCCCTGCCAAGAAGCAGGAATATTGCATTCAAATCACCCCTGACAGATGGCCATCCAGCCTCTGTTTAAAAGCTTCCAAAGAAGGAGCCTCCACCACAATAGGCTTGTAACACCAGAACTTACTTTTAAGATCTTGTGTGGTCATTAACTTTGCTAACGTTTACATTTCAACATATAGATAATGAACCTTGTCTTTAAGTGAAGGCAAATCAAGGCTCATTGTATCCTTTTTGAAAGTGTTCAAACAAATAGCATTGTTTTAGAGGAGAGTTTAGTAATGACAATATAACAAACAGCCATGCATAAAATCATGTGATGTGTGTTTTACTGCCTTTCAATTTAAGCAAAGCGATGTACGTAAAGACTGAAAAAGAAGAATACAGAGACGGATGTGCTAGATAAGCATGGTCGAAAAGCAAGAGCATGAAGGAGGAGTTTCCGTCTCCTCCCATTTCTTAATTCAGTGTCATATTTTGAGCCTGCTTTATAAATAGGGGTCTGTTCTCTGTCTTCAGGACTGCTGCAAACAAGGAGGGAACCAGAAAGCGTTCATTGACAGCCAGTTCACTCTGCACTTATAAAATTTACCAACTGTTATCTTCTCCTAAGGGACTGGAAAACTCTGTTTCAGGTATGTAGAAATCCAGCATGACATGCTTAACTGTCCACTGCAGGAAGACAGATGGGAAGCGGAGATATACAAAAAGTGCATAGGGTATTTTTGTCAAACAATTGCTGATAGTTTGACCTCCAAAACATTAGCAAAATCCTTATCTAAGAGAAGGAACAGTGGCTCATTGCCACAAGTTGTAACTGAGATATGTGTCTGGAGGATTATGGTGAGTCATCGTGGCTCGACAACTTTGGGTAGAAGGCAGAGTCCTGCCACACAATGTGGGTTGTGTGGCTTTGCTCTGCTTTACAATAATTAACATAGAGTGGCTGTAAACTTGTACTAAGGTAATGAGATTTGACTTGGTGGCAATAAACTTGCATACAGGTTCTGCTTTTCTTTTTCCCTACCCCATTATATCAAAAGTGTGTTCAATTTATGTGAGGGGACGGAGCCAGAGACAGATTCACCATTTGACTGACTGTCAGCCTGCTCTTTTTTGCACTGAGATTCTTCCACATTACTTCTAAACCAGTGTTTTTCAACCTTCCTAATGCCGCGACCCCTTAATACAGTCATCTTGTGGTGACCCCCCATCATAACATTATTTTCGTTGGTACTTCATAACTGTAATTTTGCTACTGTTATGAATCGTAATGTAAATACGTGATATGCAGAATGTATTTTCATTCACTGAACCAAATTTGGGACAAATACCCAATACACCCAAATTTGAATACTGGTTGGGTTGGAGGAGGGGGGGGATTGATTTTGTCATTTGGGATTTATAACCTACAATCAAAGAGCATTCTGGACTRCACKAACGATGGAATTGAACCAAACGTGGCACACAGAACTCCCATGACTATCAGAAAATACTGAAAGGGTTTAGTGGGCATTGACCTTGAGTTTTGGAGTTGTAGTTCACCTACATCCAGAGAGTACTGTGGACTGATGGATCAGGACTAAACTTGGCACGAARACTCAATATGCCCAAATGTGAGCACTGGTGGAGTTTGGGGGAAATAGACCTTGACATTTGGGAGTTATAGTTGCTGGGATTTATAGTTCACCTACAATCAAAGAGCATTRTGAACCATACCAATGATAGAATTGGGCCAAACTTCCCACACGGAATGCCCATGACCAACAGAAATGCTCTGGTGATCCCTCTGACACTTCCCTCGTGAGAAATGCTGTTCTAAACCTCTTAGGTCTACAATGTCATGATGTCACTCCTCTTGAGGTGCAGTGCCAATAAATGCCCAATCCTAATAAATACTGGGGATTTGCATTTTCACCGTTGTTTGCCATTAGATTCACTGAGTGGTCATACTTTGGATGGAAAATTAATTGGGAACTTTTCCCATTTCAGCAGACATAACACAACTGTTCTGTTCATGAAAGGCTGCTTTTCATGGCATGATAACATGATCTGTAAGCTATATGTCAGCAGAGCTCAACTTCAGTACTGCGTAATATTTAACCATTTGTATGTGGCATGGAAATGTCACAAAGAAAAGCTATAACTATAAGCAGAAAGCTTTGAATATCTGTAAACATTGTGAAGAAACACCAAGAATTCTCCCAAAGGAATGTGCTGAACAAAAAAAACCCCTCCAGGTCTGCAAAGAAATGGAAATGATGGAATTTACACTAGAAAACAATAAAATTCCATCCAAGGGAGTAATTTCATTTTTGTGCTGCAGATTTACCCAAAGCACCAGTCACTCTAAACCAGTGGTTCTCAACCTGGGGTCCCCAGATGTTTTTGGCCTACAACTCCCAGAAATCCCAGCTAGTTTACCAGCTGTTAGGATTTCTGGGAGTTGAAAGTCAAAAACATCTGGGGACCCCAGGTTGAGAACCACTGTTCTAAACATCTCTGTGGGTATTGGGAGGCAATCTCTGGAAGTTCTGTTATGTGTGTAAGCAACATGTAGAATTTAGCTTTATATCTATTGCTTTGCCAGGAATCACAAGGACTGTTTTAAAGGCCATTTGGTGTTCATTAACCAAATATTTCCACAGTTGGACTAACAAACTTCAAACATAAATACTGAAGATTCTAATTTTGGCACTCAAACCTTCCTCCGCATTTTGATCGAGATCGAGCCCTAGCGAAAATGTAGATTATGTTGCAATGCTAGTGGTCAGTTAAAATTTAACTGGATAAATAATTAATGTAATGATATAAAATGCTGATTTAGCTATACTAAAGCCATGGACTCCTGAACTACAACTCCCCACTTTAGCCAACTAAGGTCCCAAAGATACTCTAGAACAGTAGTTCTCAATCTGTGAGTCCCCAGATGTTTTGGCCTTCAACTCCCAGAAATCCTAATAGCTGGTTAACTGGCTGACATTTCTGGGAGTTGTAGGTCAAAACACCTGGGGACCCACAGGTTGAGAACCACTGCTCTAGAATAACATGTGGAAATACATAGTTACTGACAGGCCTGTAGCGAGGGGAGGGTTTTAGGGGTTCAACCCCCCCCCCTGAAATGTTTCAGATTAAAAAAAACCTGATTTACTTATGAATTTTAACTGGTTAACCAAATCTCCATGCTAAGTCTATGAGATGCAAAAAATTAAGAGTCCTTCCAGAACTGCAAGCACTATCTCAAGCAAATATTGACAATTTATTATTATTATTATTATTATTATTATTATTATTATTATTATTATTATTATTTACTTTATTTGTATACCGCCTTTCTCAGCCTATCGGCGACTCAAGGCGGTTTCCAACAAAACAGTATACATAGTATCATAATACAATTTAAAAACATTAAAATTACATAAATCATAACAGCAATAAAAACAACATCATTGGCATCTCCTTGTTGTCAAGCATTGTCCAATTCCATCGTCAGTTATTCGTTCCTATATCAGTTGTCTGTATCTGTTACTCTGTGTTTGTGAATGCTTGCTCAAACAGCCACGTTTTGAGTTGCTTCCGAAACGTTAAGAGGGAGGGAGCAGAGCTAATCTCTCTGGGGAGGGCGTTCCATAGCCGGGGAGCCACCGCTGAAAAGGCCCTGTCTCTCATCCCCGCCAAACGTACCTGTGACAAAGGCGGGGCAGAGAGCAGAGCCTCTCCAGACAATCTCAAGGTCCTAGATGGTTCATAAGGGAAGGTACGTTCGGACAGGTAAGTTGGGCCAGAACCGTTTAGGGCTTTATAGGCTAGAACCAGCACTTTGAATTTATTCACACTGTCATTACTTGCAGCAATAGCCGATGTAGTGAAGCAACCAAGTAGGGAGGGGTGTTGAATGCTCTCATTAAGGAGGCCAGACTTGGTGGAGGTGGCTGACAGGGGCGGAGCTGCAGGCTATTGAAGGCTGTTCTGCCCCCTGCTGTGCTCTTCGCTTCAGCGTGAGCTAGGAGGCAGGTTTGAAAACCCACCCTGTGAAAATTTCAACCCCTCCCGAATTTTTTTTCTGCTACGGCCCTACTGAAGACATCTTTAAAGGTATGTGTAATTTTGGATAAAGTCTGGATCCCTCCCTTGATGTCTCAGATATATTTACCCATTTCAAGTTTCTGGCAGTTCTACTTAAAAATGATCAATTTATTTTATGGGGGAATAATCTTCTGAAACTGAATAATATGTCTCTGCCTCTGAAGCCATAGATCACTAGGCAACACACACATACGTGCCATCAACTGAGCACAGCTGAAACTATATTTCCATAATGCAATGGTTTACAATAGTCTTTAGTTGCATTAACCCTTGTGAATCTTGTTCTCTTTGTGATAGATGGCCAACGAAGCAAGACCTTGCCCTTGTGACCTTGGAGACACATTTGACTATGAAGGGCAGGGACATGAAGTTTCCGTTGAACACATCAAAGCTTACCTGACCAAGCCTCCTCACCATACTGACAAAGCGGTCATAGTGATACATGATGTTTTTGGATGGCAGTTACCAAATACAAGATATATAGCTGATATGCTTGCATCTAATGGCTACATGTAAGAACATTTTCATGATTTTTCTCAGTCATGCCTTATCAAACTGTATTCTATTTAACTTTTTAAATATTAGTGCGCTGTATGTAAAAAGCAATCAAACGTATTTTCTTTTTGCTTGTAATCTTACATAGAAAATAAGAGGATCAATTATCATATGTAGAACAATCTATTCTGAATAATAATACAGGAACAATGTACAATGTGACCTAAAAGTTTTCCAGTGTGAAAGGGAGGGTGCAACAGGATACCCTAAATAGCTGTTAGGAATATCCCACTTTGTCTCTCTCAACTGCAGAGGATTCTGTGCCCTTTTATTTTCTTCTTAAAGTTTAATACACGCTGCCACCAAATATAGAACTCTTCCACAGGCTACCACCTTATATGTGGAGTTTGGGTGAGAGGCATGTAGAGACTTTTGTTTGGTATGAACAAAGAAAGATGTTTATTTATTCCTTTAGAACAGGCATAAAAGCTTAATGGTTCCAATAAAACTTGTACAGAGCGTTATGGTTTCAGAAGTAGTTCAGTGCTTGAATTACAGGTTCCAGTCAAAACCTTCAAAACTGAGAAACTTTCAGTATTCCACTAAACAGTTCCTTCAATTCAAACAGCCCAATCAACAGGGTCTGTTTAAAACAATAGTTCTTCTTTGAAGTAACTATTATATAACACAAGCTAAACTTCCTTCTACCTCCATTTTCAAAACCCAAACTCCTAACTGCCAACTCCAAACTCCTAACTCCTAACTCCTCACTCCTCACTCCTAATCCCTAACTGACATTCAAAAGGCTCCTTTTTTCCCTTGCCTTGTCTAAGCTCCGCCCACTTTCTTCCTCCAGGGCTATTGACCAATCAGGTGGTGACACACACCCTCAAGACTGCCTGCTGGCTCCGCCCCCTCTTGGCTCTTGTCACGTTGCCAGGGCTCTGCCTTATTTAGGTAGAGATGAATCAAACTCTCAGTTTTATCAAACAGTTTAATTAAAACAGCACTTACGTGCTGGCTGTTTTAATAGACCAAAACATAAAACATAAAGATAGCACTCAGCCACAGAATAAACAAAAACTAATAGCAAAAAAGTCAAAAGGGTCCAGTCCAGTGGTCAAATGCCAAGAGTTCAATAAACGAAGTCCAGGGATCAAGAGTTTATACCGTAGTCAAAAACCAGTCCAAAGGTTCAAGGTTCCAAGATTACAGGAGACAGGTCAGGATACCAAAAAATCCAACAGACCTGGGGGAAAAACCAGCAGCTTCCACCACCAAAATGCAACAGATACTTTTCTCCCAAAGATCAGTCTCAAGGTTAGCTCCTTAAATTCAGTAACACCCAGCTGCAACCCATCTCCTGCACACCTCCACCCCTAATTGCTTTCACCCATGAACTCCCACTTACAGATTACCAAAACCTCTAGAACTAATTCTTACATTAACCCTTCCATCACCACCACCATCAACTGCAGAACATATGACAGCTCTGTGTTAACAAAATGGATGCCTGCTGGCTCTACCCCCTCTTGGCTCTGAGCTGAGAAAATAGCTGCTTGGCTTTTGGTCTTTAAGGAACCAAACGCCAGCCCTGCACAGTAGGCCAGTACATTACAGAGGGCAATAAAAATGAAGGAGGTTTCTCCAGCTCCTATCATATTAACAGCAAAGAACCTACAACTTTGAGGATGAGAAATAGCTTCCTCCTCACTGCAATCCAGAGATAAAACTTTGTTTAATCTGTTGTGACATTTAATAGGCACATTAGAAATATCTGCCCCTGTAATAGATGGAGGAGCGGCAACAGTTAGTTTTAATCTTGGCAACAGGGGAGACAGGGTGGAAGAGTTTTACTATTTCTGCTCATAAAGAATGGTGCTCTTCAGAAGCTTGGGATATAAATTCACAATCAGTTCCAAAAATGGATGGCTGTTCTTGGCTGATACAGTGTACTGCTTAGTTATACTCTAAACCAGGGGTCCTCAAACTAAGGCCCGGGGGCCGCATACGGCCCCCAAGGTCATTTACCCGGCCCTTGCTCAGTAGTCTGAAACTACTTGAAAGCACACAACAACAACAACAACAATCCTATCTCATCAGCCAAAAGCAGAAGACATAGTTTTTATACTTATAGTTTTTATTGCTTCTATGGTTTTTATATGTATTTATGATGTGATTAAATTGCTTTTAACTGAGATATGTTTGTATATATATACAGCATCTAATTGTTGCCGGTCTGTACACCAGCCTGAGTCGCCTTCGGACTGAAATGGGCAGGATAAAAATGACGAAAATAAATAAATAAAATTAATACCAGTCAATCTGTTTTTGCAAGGGATTTCTTAGGGGACATCTCATACCTTTTTATACAGGACGGAAAGAAAGCACCTCCAGTGTGGGTTTGTGTGCACAAAAAATGCTGTAGTGCTTTAACAAAGACTTATGTGTTCATATAAAACACCCACTAGGTAATGGATTTCTCCAATATGTACTCGAAATTTTTTGATATTTGGGTTTTTTAAAGACATATTCTCTTTCTGACAAAGGGAATTGTTTTGAATGGCAGGGTGTGTATGCTTATGCATTAATATCGAGTAATTTCAAATCCACAATTTTATAAATGAACTTGTATGTATTTTCCATACAGAGCAATTCTCCCCGACTTCTATAGAGGACAAACAGCTTGGACACTATCTGATGACTGGGATACATTTGATGATTGGCTAAAAACACGAGACTCCAAAAATACCAACAGGTAAGATTTCAGGCCAAGTGGTAGTTATTCCTTTCTGGATATTGTAGGCTGATGCCTGGTCAAGCTAAGATGTACATTTCAGAAAGAGAGGAGAGGACTACATGTATACATCTTAATCAGCTCTGAACATTTCCCTGTGAGAACGCCAAAAGTTGTGCATATCTTCCGCAATTGTCATTGGAATAACCCAATTACTACACTGTGAATGAGGCCTTACACTGATCGGACTCATTCTGATATCATCCAAAACTTTTTTTAATGGGGCAAATGTAGCCAACTGAGTCCAGCTGTTTCTAAATGGAACAAGGGAATCCATTCACTACAATTCCTTGAAGATTTTGTGACTGTGAAAGAAGTGATAAATTCCATAAATATCCATAGACTGTCTATACAGGGTTGCATTGTTAATATTAGTCACATTTTCACTAAATACATTTTCTGGCTGACATGTCCACTGCTTATTTCTTTTTTATACAGCTTCTTGTTGCCATGATACTTGACAAATTGACCTATTTATTCAGTTTCGTGTCTTGCTTTCACTTTCTAGAGATGTCCGAACCATTGCAAGATATTTACCTATATTTTCCTTAACAAAATATTTGCACGAAAAATTTGCTATTGATGTCATTGTGGTTCCTTTGAATGTCTGACGTCTAGATTCGCTTTTAGCAAGAGAATAAAACAAGTGAGTACAAGGAAATGTTTCAAAAATGGTTTTCTAACTAATTACTTCATTCACTTACATTTTTCTGTCTCAGGGAAACAGATGTTGTCTTGAAGTATCTGAAGGAACAATGTCATGCAAAGGAGATAGGTGTCATTGGATTTTGCTGGGGTGGAGCTGCTGTTCATCATTTGATGTTGAGATACTCTGAATTTAAGGCTGGTGTATCCATTTATGGTAAGTGTCATGGACAATCGAGTCTGTACAAATTGATTCCTCTGCCTCTATTATATAGAAAAATAATGAAAAGAAAGTGGAACATGCTTTTAATTGGCCAGAAATTGAGATTGATTTCACTTCCATGTTCTTTGGAAGAATATGGTTGGAAACTATATGGTACATTATATATAAACTAATGGTAATTTTAGGCTTTGCACAAGTACTAATAATAGAAGGAGGGGGAGATATCCAACTAGTGTATACTTTGGATTGTCAAAGTATGGAATTATTAAGGTTGATTGCATTTCCATGCTGTTTGAATAATATATTCTGTTATCTATCATTTAAGCAGATATCATTCCCAGAGCATCTAACCTGTACTTCATAATGTGAAAGAGGTTCGAGTTGATTTTTGTTATTTATTTAGATTGAGATTCTGCATTGGGAAATACATGTGTCTCACACATCTATACCTCCACAACTAAGTCTTCTCATAGCTACCTGTGATTGATTTTGATTTTTTAAAATTTTTAGTTTTAGTTGAGGAACCTTCTGGTCATCAATTAGCATATACTCCTATCATTTTCCTCCAGAAATAATGTTTATGTATCTTAAATTATTTCTAAATTATATCTATATATGTTGTTTTGTAACTGGACCATATGCTGCTTGCCTATGTGTCAACTGTTGTTGGTTTGATTAGTATTTGTAGTTTTTTGAACAGTCTTACAATGACTTCCAGACCCATCATCAGTTGGGTTCACAGTGCTCTTGTGGGTTAATTGCAACTCCCAGCATCCCAGGTCAATTCCCCCAATCCCGCCATCACTCACAGTTGGTCATGATATGTGTGTGTCTGCCCCACCTATGGATAAACCATTGTTGGTTTGATTAATTACAGCTTTTGGATGTTCTTACAACTACTTCTGGTTTGATTTTTTTTAAAAAACATGTTGTTTTTAACCAATAGAACTGAGGTTACAAATTACTTTGGAAAGTTGCAAGAGCAGTCAGCCATTCAGCATAAATGGCTGACGTTTGAGAGAAAATATCTAAAGCTTTTTTGATCTTACAGATCTGGTGTTATGATAGATTGAATTACAAACAGATTTTCTTGGTTAGTACCACAAAATTAGAGCATTGCTAAAAACAGACTTTGGATAAGATGTAACAAGGTGGTCACTTCATTTTTAGAATACAGACAGCTCCCTTTTTGTCTCATGAAGGACAGCCTGGGGACTGAATGGCACATCCCATATAAACTGGTGATAACTTTAGGTTTTGCCCAAGTGCAAGTGATGGACGAAGGGGTGTCATCCAAATCACAATAGAAAATGTATGACTTGAAACTTGTTTGCACATCAAACATGCAAAAACCTTGAATAAATATTTGTTTTCTGTGAAATGTACGTGAAATGGAAAACTAGTAATTCCCATAGAACATTCCTATTTTTTAATCTTGGGAACTATAAAAATCAACAACACTAAACATATAAAGCTAATTACGTATTAAAAATATTGTGTTTAATGTAGCTTTTCCTCAAATGTACTCTAGGAGTCATCCGGTTTCATGATACCAGTTGTGAACTTAAGAACCCCACGTTTTTCATTTTTGGAGAGAATGATTTCTTTATTCCTCTTGACCAAGTAAGTTGTTTCACAAAGTAGAGTTATCAAATTGTACATCAAATGATTCAGAAAAAAATGTACCAAGCTGTGAAAATTAACTGTTGTGAACTCATTTCATGAACACAGTGTATCCATCTTTCCCAAATTCCCAAACATTTTAATACTTTAGTGCAGAGGTTCCCAAAGTGTGCTCCATGGAGTCTTTGAGAATCTGTGAGTGATTGGAAGAGGCTCTGTGTCAGGCGTCTCAGTGCTCCTTCCCTTCTCCTCCTCTTCCTGATCCTTCTCCTTCTCTTCCTCTCCCCCTTCCCTGCCAGACATACGGCACATCCAATGGGTGGCCACTTTGGAGCTGTCCCTTTGAGCAGATTGGTTGGCAGGAGCAGGTCACTGTGGAGAAATAGAAAAGCCAAGGGCTCCGAGCTCAGAAACTGCCAGCAGAGATCTGGATAAGGAGCCAGTGAGCCAAGTGACTCAGTCAGACAATTAACATGTTTGAAAGGTAAAAGAGAGAGAAATGGTGAGAGGAAGGTGTGCAGGTACAGCTGTACCAGAAGTTCCCACTTTATTTGCTTTGTATTAAGTGTTTGCTTGCAGCCCAAGGCTTGGGATTTGCAGAAGGGTGGCTTCCTGTTAAAGTTTGCAGTTATAGGGCAGGCCACCTGTCCATCATCATTAGGTTCCTTAGTTCCGCCCCCTTTTGGGTTTTCAGAAGAGAAGGGAGTCATTTTTAGTCAGTCACACACAAGGAAGCTAGTCTATAGGACGCAGACTGCTCGTCCCGTAGGAAAAGCTTCATTCCTCAAGATCATCCGGGGACCATCCGGTGATCATCTGGGGATCATTCAGGGAAATAGAAACAGAAGGAAAAGATCCCAAAGGCTCTGGCTGAGAGCTCACAGCCTTTCAGCCTCACAGCACCAGAGGGGAAAACAGCCCTGAAGTTCCCACAGGACAGCATTACAGAACCACGGAATTCCAGCTGGAATATCTTCAAGCCTTGGCTGGTAGGTTTACTCGATGTCCAGACGCATTTGGGATCGGTAGTAAGACCCAGACCAGCGAGGCCCAGATGATAGACAGCCTGGGAGAGATTATAAAGGGTTCTTCCTCATGCTGAGAAAGTACAGTTAATCCAAGTCAGTGCCAGTCTCTTAAAGACTAGAATAAGAAAGCCTTGAAGTGTTGTTTGAAGATTTGTTATTTGTTCCTTAATAAAGACTTTGTTGTACCATTAAAGACTCTAAAGACCATCACTTCAGGAAATCTCTAAGAATCTCTCTTTGAGGCACCCTGGCTTCCCACTGGGTTTAAAGTATACGTCCTATAGAATAAAGACAATTTGTTCAGACCCAGAGCGCAACAGAACAGAAGGTTAGAAAAAAACCAAGATGGACCTTCATTAGCCAGGAAAAATAATAAGAGGGTGCTCCAGGCATTAAAAGACACCATGGTGACTCAGGAGGGAGATTTCAGAGAATCTCCGCTAAACTCTGACAAACTCTGCCACAAGAAGCAGGCACATTGTTCACATTAATAGGGATGTTGCGTATGTGTAAAGCCCCCTTTGGGGTTGAGAAGGGCGGAGTATAAATACGGTTAATTAATTAATTAATTTCAAATGTACATGTAATATGGTAACATTTTTCAAATATTCATTTATTTTATTTTATTTCCTATATTTATACCCCGCCCTCCCCCCCGAACTTCAAAACTAGTTGTTATAGTTTTGTAGATTTAAATAATGAATAATATTATCTCCAGTTCTTTTTTACTATTGTTTTCCCCCCCCCCCCTCTATATATATGCATACATACACACACACTTTATACTTAGGTATATATAGCATGTGTAATATGCCTCAAAGAACATAGATAGAACTAAACACTAAACATTTCTTGGAGCTCCACGAGAAAGTTTCTGTGGCTGAAAAAGTTTGGGAACCCCTGCTCTAGTGGACACAGCTAATGATATTTGCAGGTCATTGTGTGTTCCTTTGGATACCCCTACCAGATCTTTGTCTGTTTGATTTATTCTAAATCAAGTCATTTTCTTAAGTAGTGAAACAACTAGATAACCTTCTACATCTGATAGTCTCTGCCTAGGTTCAGGTAATAAAAACCTATAAGGAGAACTGTGCAGTTTGTTTCCAAAAGGTACCAAATGGAAAAAAAAATGAGTTATAGGTGGCAGCACATTGTAGGATAGGAGTAGACTATTATGCACAGATCAAAACTATCAAAATGTGTCAAAACCCCTCAATAAAGAGCCTGGAAAAGAATGCATATCCTCCACATGTTTCTTTCCAATTCCTGTAAAATTTGTTCAGATGGATTTGGTGCATTTTGGAAACTAATGAGAAAGAAGCACTGTTATGCAAGCCAACTGTTTCTGGGCAAGATAAATTAGGTCTTACTTTGCTAATTCATGTTGCAAAATAGCATCAGGAGTTAACTTTTTTTTTTTTGCAAGTACTGTTTTTAAATTGTACACAGCAAAAGGTAAAGAAGGTAATTCAGCAGATTGACTACTTTTCCTATGGGCTGGGCAGAGTTAGCCATATCTTGAAGTGCATATGGTTGCTTTTTTGTTTGTTTCAGGATAGATATCAAATCAGGCATCTCGCAGGCTAGAATTTTCTTTCTTAAGTCATTCCATTGTTGACTAGATATGTAAAAACATCTTCAATTTCTAGCCCTTGTAACCTATGCAAAATTAGACATCCTTCCTCCCTCCTAAGACAAAATAAAGCTTTGATTGTAATGTAAAATTACCATGACCCTTGATTTTCAGGCATAAGTACAAATGAGGAATGCATGTTGCACATAGTGTGTTTCAGTCAGGTCCAATGCAGAAGACACAATAACATTGCACCCAGGCAAGAGAAAAAGAACAGAAAAACTTTACTCTTATCAGCAGAGTTAAAACATAAACTTGCAATGTTGCAAACAGAAAACAAACAGTGCAACAAACTTATATAGTCCTTGCAAGCAATACAGAATAAGGCTTCTTCATCTTCATCCAAATGAGAGAGCAGTAGAAATGGTTGAGCAAAATGCCTGAGCAAAGGCTCCTCAGAGCAAAAGCTGAACTGTATTCTAAAAACCATACAGTTATACCCCACCGGGTGTGGTCCAAACTTACTAGTTGACCTACATTAGCAGCTGCACATAATAATCAACAGTATAAGATTTTGTTTAACGCACATACACACACACATACTTGATCCTGTTACAACTTACTGTATCATTATAGGCTTAAATTCAGTTATTAGCCTAAACTACAATAAATGCACGGAATAATTGAATTAAATTTTTGTTTTGCCATTTTCCCATTAATTCAATTGGTCTCCTCTAGTTGGAACAATCTATTGAATTTGGAGCATGGAATATAAGGTAGAAAGTCTGGACTTTTCCTGCAGTACAGACACATGTTTAATCTTTGCATTGGAAATAAAGCAAATATATAGTCTTTTCATTAATTTTTTCATAACATTCTATGGATCAAGATGATATTAGTCTGTACTAAGAAGCTGTTTTCTGTTGTAGGTTGCTGAACTAGAGGACTTCCGGTTAAGATGGCGGGGAGTTAACAGCGGATTTTCAGAGCGGTCCGGTGAGAAATACCAAAATTGAGTTGGGTCCCCCTCCATCCCCCTCCACCCAATCCTCCTTTGGCCACCAACCGTCACCCTGACACCTGGGGGTTCGAAGGAACCCTCTGGGTGTCTTTCTGGCGGACATATACCGAGAGAAGAGAGCAGAAGAAGGAAGAGGTGGAGAAGAGGGGAGATAGAGGTAAAACGCTGAGGCCTTTACCACTCAGGCCCGGATGGTGCGTTCCCTCTTAAGCAGCTCAACCGGACGGCCTGAAACCTCCCCCCCCCCGAATCGAACACACGAACTCACGCCATTCTGGTGTGCCGGCGACTGGGCTCGGCGGCTGGGCTCGGCGGGACTCGGCGGTTGAGTCGGCTTCGCCGCTCGGCCTCCAGCACGGCCTTCCGCGGCCTTGCAGCCTTGCAGCCTCCTGCCTTTGAATCCGGCGCCGGCCTCCTGTGGCCTTTTGCGACCTTTTGCGGCCTTCCTTGCGGCCTTCGGTTGCGTCCAGTGACTCGGCCTTTGCGGCCTCCCGCGGCCTCTGGTGGCCTCCTGCAGCCTTTCGCGGCGGCGCCGCACCGCTCGGCGGGTGGGTCCCTCTGCGGCCTTCTGCGGCCTCCAGCGGCTCGGCTTCTGCCTGCGACCTCCAGCGGCTCGGCTTTTGCGGCCTTGCGGCCTTGTGGCCTCCTGCCTGTGAGTCCGGCGCCCGGCTGCTACGCGGCCGCGCCTGGTCCTTCGGGGGGGGCAGGCCGTGGGCTTCTTCATCATCACTGCTGCTGTGGCTGCTGGGGCCTAAACCCTCTGGTGCTGCATCGTCTTGGTGATCCCCCCGTCCCCCGGGGGCCCTACAGATTGTTTAGTTCCGGAGAGGAGTGGGCTCTTTCTTTGTCTTCCATCACAACGGCCCCTTTGTCTTCCATCACGCCGGCCCCTGCTGACTCAGTTTCACCGCCTTTAGTAACGGTTGGGGTCGACCAACGTTGTCTGTATTAGGTCTTTAACACCTGAATGTCTGACTGTACTGACCGAATTTTGAGCAACCTATCTGGCGGATTGCTTATGCTAGCTGAGTTGAGTTGTGTTGTTCATATGTAACTTCACCATTGCCAGGAATTTTACTAACTTCCGGAAGATTGTCCATCTAGCAAGCCATCATCGCCACCCTGGGCATCTCACTGCGTTGACCATCATTAAGTCACTGACCATCATTAATTCGTCCGTGTTGATTCTCCTGACTTTACTGATATCATCACCTACTCCTAGCAATAAGTTGGTTCTTAAGCAGTGTTCGAATATGACACTAAGAAATACACCAGCTTTCTTTACTGAATCATTTATATAACACAGTTACGTGTTTATTACGAGGGTTGAATGAAAAGTAATGCCTTCACCTTCGTTACTTGGGTTTGGATAGGAATATTTTAATAAATCAAACGCAAAAATAATCCTTAGAATGTGCTCTTTAACTACCACTATTCACTTTTCCACATAATCACCAGACAATTGGATACATTTCTGCCAACAATGAACAAGTTTTCTGAAGCCGTCGGAAGAAGTCGACACTCTGTTTCCGCAACCAGCGTCTCACAGTTCTCTCATCCTGGGTACCCATTGTGCACAGATCTTCCGATAGCCAAGCAAAGCAATAATGTGACCCACACATTCTTGTGAAATGCCGATTATGCTTGAAATTTCTCTCTGAGTGATACGACAATTATCCTGAATCAATCTGTCAACCTTTTGCTTGTGAAACTCAATGGTTGCTGTCACAGAACCTCCAACTCTTTGTCACGCAAGTCAGATGTTCCCACCTCAACATCTTTAAACTTACTTGCCCAACGATGCACTGCACTCACATCAACAAAATCACCATAAACAGCTTGCATTCTCTAATGAATCTCCATTGGGATGACACCTTCTGCAATCAATAATTCAATGACTGCATGTTGCTTAAGTCGCATTGACCAACCGTCTGCACAGGGTTCCATACTTCACACTTTAACAACATGACCATTCAATGCCAAGGCTTCCCGCCAAAATGGAATTGTAGAGGAGAGTCTACTGAACAAGCCAGTAGCTGCCGCATACCAGTACTGCCATCTGTTGAGGAGTTATGAAGGTGGAGGCATTACTTTTCATTCAACCCTCGTATTTGGATAACCAAGCTTTATGTTCTGTTAGTTGACAGGTTTGAATATAAGAACTTGTTTTTGGAATTCTGAATTTTCTAAAACCATTGCCAGAAAAGCTAGTTTGTATCTTTCTGATAGAAATGTATGGCCCTGTAAATGATGGACTGAAGTTCATATCATTCCTAAACCATATAATCTATGCTGGGGGTTGATAGGAGTTGGAGTGCAGTAATTTTGGAAGGCTGTACGTTTTCTACTCTTTTTCTATCAGAACTCACTAGATAATTAATAATTTCCCTTTCTATCTATTGCTTTCTTTTATCTATTTAATGCCATGCCTCATGTACAGAGGAAGAATTGTTAGAGGTTACAGACAATGCCGTTGCTGTTGCCCGTTTTTTGGTCAAAATATATTTAGCTGCTTGTGCTCCTTCTATTTTTATGCAATGCTTTTGATACAAAATAATAATCAGCGAGGGGGGGGGGCACACAACAGCTTCCATACCTAATATTTGTCACTTGTGTACCTACTCATTCCCTGGTTGGGCTCCTGTGTTTTTTTAACGTGATTTAATTTTTTTATTAGTAGAAGAGTTCACCATAACATTCAAACAACAACATGATGTATTACAGACAAAAGAAAGAGATTTTGAGATACTCATTCGTTAACTACACACTGGTTTCCTTCCTTGTCTATAAAAAAAAGTCACAATGATGTGACACCCAATACCCCTATCCCACACAAAATAAATCCTCTTTCTCACAGCAGTAACCTAATAGACACAACCCTGGGATTTCCCCCCCTCTTATATAGCATTTTATTTGTCTCCTTAGTTACCTTATCCCAAAATGCCTGTATGGTCTCACAGGTCCACCACATATGGAAGAATGTCCCTTTCTGTTTCCTACCTCTCCAGCAAATACCTTGTTGTGATTTATCTATTTTTGCCAATGTTGCTGGGGTGATATAGCATCTATAAAACGTTTTATATAGAGTCTCCCTAATTGATCCAGATAACATAAACTTGAATCCTTTATTCCATAGATATTCCCAGTTATCCAATTCTATTGGTCTACCTAAGTCCTTGGCCCAGGATATCATTCCTGCCTTGACTTTGTTATCCTCCATGTTGTAGCTTAATATATATTTGTATAATCTGTAGATTAACCCTTTGTTTCCCTTTTCCCATATTCTTTCCAAGTCCGATTTTTTGGTTGCGAATCCCATCCTCACATCTTTTTATATCTTTCATACAGTTGATGATAGCGAAACCAATCATTAATTCCCAATTCTTCTCGCCCTTTTGATTTCCACTTTTAATTTTCTCTGATAAGAAATTCTTTATACGTAATTGTTTCTATCCTTAGGGTTAGTCTTGTAACCACTTCTAGTGGCATCAACCAAAGGTTGTTTTTTTTCCGGTCCCATGCCTTTTCTGTATTTTTTCCAAATATCTAGCACCTCCCTCTTATTATATGTTTATTAAAGTCTTTGTTTAGTTTATCTCCTTCATGCCATCCGAATCTTAATTAATATCCTTCCAAATCTAATAGTCTTATTCTCTAGCTTTATCCATTCTGTTGTTGAAGGCTTTCATGGCTGGAATCACTAGGTTCTTGTAGGCTTTTCGGGCTAAATGGCCATGTTCTAGAGCAGGGTTTCTCAACCTTCCTAATGCCAGGACCCCTTAATACAGTTCCTTATGTTGTGGTGACCCTCAAACATAAAATCATTTCAGTTGCTACTTTGTAATTTTCTATTATCAACTGTAATGTAAATATCTGAGGTATTTTCATTCACTGGACCAAATTTGGAACAAATACCCGATACACCCAAGTTTGAATACTGGTGGGGTTAGTGGGGATTGATTTTGTCATTAAGGAGTTGCAGTTGCTGGGATTTATAGTTCACCTACAATCAGAGAGCATTCTGAACTCCACCAATGATGGAATTTAACCAAATTTAGCACACAAAACTCCCACAACTAACAAAAAATATTGGATGGATTTGGTGGGCATTGACCTTGAGTTTTGGAGTTGTAGTTCACCTACATCCAGAGAGCACTGTAGACTCAAACAATAATGGAAATGGACTAAACTTGGCATGAATACTCAATATGCTGAAATGTGAACACTGGTAGAGTTTGGTGAAACTAGAACTTGACATTTGGGAGTTGTAGTTACTGAGGTTTACATTTCACCTACATTCTGAACTCCACCAGTAATGGAATTGAACCAAACTTGGCACACAGAACTTCAATGACCAACAGAAAATACTGGAAGAGTTTGATGAGAATTGACCTTGAGTTTAGGAGTTGTAGTTCACCTACATCCAGAGAGCACTGTAAACCCAAACAAGGATGTATCTGGACGAAACTTGGCACCAATACTCAATATATCCAAATGTGAACACTGGTGGAGTTTGGGGGAAATAGACCTTGACATGTGGGAGTTGTAGTTCCTGCGATTTATAGTTCACATACAATCAAAGAGCACTCTGAACTCCACCAACGATAGAATTGGGCCAAACTTCCCATACAGAATCCCCATGACCAATAGAAAATACTGTGTTTTCTGATGGTCTTTAGTGACCCCCTTGACACCCCCTTGTGACCCCTCCAGGGGTCCCGACCTCCAGGTTGAGAAACACTGTTCTAGCAGCATTCTCTCCTGACGTTTGTGAGGACCTCACTATCTCTGAGGATGCTTGCCATAGATGCAGGCGAAACGTCATGAGAGAATACTTCTAGAACATGGCCATTTAGCCCAAAAAGCCTACAACAGCCCCGTTTTCCCATTCTTTCAACGAGGACAGTGTATGATTGATCACAATGGAACATAATGATCATGAGAAATAGAGATGTTCAGCATTGTTTGGAGACTGAGAAAAGCAAATTCTACAACATGGCAAAAAATAAAAAAAAATAAGTGTATAAAATTAACATTACTAGAAAATAGGGATGACATGATGTTTTATTAAAATACCAATAATTGTCAAATTAAGATAGGATCTATGTATGTTTATATTAGGGCATCTCCTCTGTCCTTTTAAAACTACTTTTAGCTGTGTCTTCTTTTCTTAGCTGAACATATTGTATAAGGTGCTGATTTTTACAAATCATAGAATAAATGAAATCATGATTAAAGTTAGAGGTGAATATTTTATTTTGACTATTGCATCTATCTTGTGTTGTATGTGGATGTACACAGTGTATGTATGTGCACACATATTTTAATGAAAACATTCATACCAGATTTAAAATAATCCTCCCAGAAATTGGGCACAAAATTCTATATATGACTTTGTCATGCAGCAGGGAGTGTTAACATTATCTCCTGAATTGAAAACTTGTTGATAGAAACCTAGAAAACTTCACTAGCAAAGTCCTATAGGATGATGGTCAGTCTTATTTATTATTATTATTATTATTATTATTATTATTATTATTATTATTATTAAACTTTATTTGTACCCCGCTAGCATCTCCCGAAGGACTCGATGCGGCTTACAAAGGCCAAGGCCCCAACACAACATCAGACAATAATAATATGATACAAAGCAAATTAAATTACGTGTAAATAGTAACAGCAGTTCTGAACAATTTCAATATTGCATCAAAATCTCTTAATTCCACAATCACATTTACGCTGAATGACATTGTTAAAGTGCTACACTGTCCTTTCCATTATCTCCTGCACTTCACCATTATAAACAAAACAGTGTGACAGGTGGAACAACCTCACTGATTCCTGCACCATCTAGGCTCTAAATCTTTCCATCCTAAAGAAATATATTGCAAAAAGAAAACATAAATTCACAGTTGGACAACACCTTAATCAAAGGACCAAGCAAAATGAGGGGCCGTGATGGTGCAATGGGTTAAACCCTTGTGTTGCTGAACTGCTGACCTAAAGGTCGGCAGTTCAAATCCGCGGGATGGGATAGGAACCCTAGCTCCTATCAACCTAGCAGTTTGAAAACATGCAAATGTGAGTAGATAAATAGGTACCACTTCGGCAGGAAAGGGCAAAAGACGTTCCAAGAAGTCTTGCCAGCCACACGACCAGGAGGTAACAACACAGGATACTCGGCTTGAAAATTGAGAAGAACACCTCCCTGAGAGCCAGAGCTGAACACTGCCTCCAGAAGCCAGAAATGGAAAAAGAGAACCCTTTGTCTGGTCTGTGTTTGTGTGTTTCATTGTATGTGACTGTAAGACATTGAATGTTTGCCTATGTCTGCTGTAAATGCTGTGATCCATTCTGAGTTCCCTAGGGGAGAAGGGTGGAATATAAAGTGTATTATTATTATTAGTAGTAGTATTAAAGGTGGGATCAGAATGATTCATTAGGCTAATGATGCAAAAATAAGAGTATAATCTTGAAACAAACCAAATAAATTCACAGATTTACTCAATGATTAAATTAAAGGGTATCAATGCGATTCTGGCCCAGCGTATCTGTCCAAACATTTCCCCTTCTATGTCCCACCTCGGAGTTTTAAGATCTTCAGGGGAGGCCCTGCTCTTGGCTCCGCCTCTGTCAGAAACGCCCTTGGCAGGGACAAGGGCCTTCTCGGTGGTGGCCCTCCGCCTGTGGAATTCACTCCCCACTGAAATTAGATTATCAACGTCCCTCCTTTCCTTTAGAAAGAAGTTAAAAAGGTGGATGTGGGACCAGGCCTTTGGATAATTTTTCTGACGGTGACAATGATGACAATCGCTATGGAAATGGACTATCAACATGCTTGATGGAGTCTCTAACTACAGAATTCGGCTCAGATAAGGCCACCAGGCTGTTATTGAAACAGAAACAGATTTTAATTAATTAATGTGATCTAATGTTTTAAATCTATGTAATTATTTGATTTTATTATGTATTTTATTATGTGTACATTAGAGGCATCAAATTGTTGCCGGCTGGAAGCCGCTTTGAGTCCGTCCGTCCGTTCCCCCCCCCCCCCCCGGCCCGGGGCAGGCCCGTAGCGAGGGGGGTTAGGGGTTCAACCCCCCCCCCCGAAATGTTTCAGATTTTTTTAAAAAAACCTGGTTTACTCATGAATTTTAACTGGTTAACCAAATTCCCATGCTAAGTCTATGAGATGTAAAAAATCAAGAGTCCCTTCAGAACTGCAAGTATTATCTCAAGCAAATATTAGCAATTTATTCACACTGTCATTACTTGCAACAATAGCCGATGTAGTTGTTCTGGTACAGCTGTACCAGGAGCTCCAACTTTATTTGCTTTGCATTAAATGTTTGCTTGCAGTCCTAGGTTTCAGGAACTCTGCAGATAGGTGGCTTCTTTGGTTGCAGTCATAGGGCAAGTCATCTGTCCATCATTGTTAAGTTTTGGTTCCGCCCCTTGCTCAGGGCAATTGGGAAGGGAAGGGAGCCATTTTTAGTTAGTCTCAGCAAGGTAAGCTTATGTATAGGATGTGTGCAAGCTTCCCCTGTACAAAAGCTTCAACCCTTAAGACCTTCCGGGGGAGAAAGAGTCTCCAAAGAATTTCCAGGAAAACAGCCCTAAAAACCAAAGAACTCCAGCTGGAGAACATCTACTGCCTTGCTGGTAGGTCCACTCGGCGTTCGAGACGCAGTTCGACCCGGTAGCAGAGCCCACATCAGTAAGGGTTAGATTACAGTCAGCCTGGGAGAAGTTAAAAAGGGGATTTTCCTTTAAAGAAGAAGTTATTGAAGACAGTTGCCTGTCCTTCGTGGGCAAGATTAGGAATTCACCAGTTGCCTAAAAGCTTGAAATCATTTGCTTAACTTTACTGAAGACAAGAGAAGTTTCTGTTTGATTGTTCATTAATAAAAGACTTTGTTGTACTTCTCAAGCCATCTAAAGACTGTTTGTGGTGGAAACCTCTGAGAACTTCTCTTTAGGCCCCCTGGCTTCCCGCTGGGCAAAGGTTGCACGTCCTGTTCTAAAGACAATTATTTACAGGCCCAGCGTGCGACAGAACAGTAGTGAAGCAACCAAGTTGGGGGGGGGGATGTTGAATGCTCTCATTAAGGAGGCCAGACTTGGTGGAGGTGGTTGACAAGGGCGGAGCTGCAGGCTATTGAAGGCTGCTCTGCCCCCTGCTGTGCTCTTTGCTTCAGCGTGAGCTAGGAGGCAGGTTTCAACCCCCCCCGCGAAAATTTCAACCCCCCCCCCCCGAAAATTTCAACCCCTCCCGAAATTTTTTTCTGGCTACGGCCCTGGCCCGGGGGTTGAGAAGGGCGAGTTATAAATATCTGGAATAAATAAAATAAATAATAAATATTTTAAAAATACCATTCTTTGGAATTTGTTGTTTTCCAAAGCTTTGCATACATTATGCATGCAGCTGTATTAATGTATGTGAACCTTACCTAGCAGTTTCAAAAACAGCAATGTGAGTAGATAAATACGTTCTGCTTAAGCGGGGAGGTATTTAAGGCACCCATAAGGAAATGCCAGGGAAAAATGCTGGCGATTTGATCCAAGGAGGAAGTTTACAAACAAAGCTCTTTGGCAGGGAAAAGTGGAATGACAGCATAGACACATAGACACATGCGTGACCGGAACCAACACTTCAAATGGCCACTCTTTCCATGACACATGTAATGATTATACAACACAGACATGATATAAATGTATTCCTTATTTGGTGCAGCACATACGAATCAGAAAATCAGTAGTAACGCAATACTGTATGAAAAGCAAACTCATTTTTTCTGCTATCACCACTCAAAATATTAACTGCTGATTTCACTTTGCTAACCTTTGTATCTCAATACATGGATAATGAACCTTGACTTTAAGTGAAGGCAAATAATGGCTAACGTAACTTTTTCAAAAAGCATTTGAACAATGAGTGCAATGTTATTAAAGACCTTGGGATTGGCAATATACAGAACTGCTAAGCATACAAGAGTCGTGACAAAGCATGTGATGTTTTTTCTGCTCCAAAACTGTGTCTCTCCCTTTAAAGAAACAGATAAAGAAAGCAAGGACACTAAGCGGAAGCAGGACTGGAAGGAGGAGGGGTTTCAATCTCCTCCCATTTCTTAATTCAGTGTCAAGTTTTGAGTGTTTCATAAGAAGTGGACTTTGTTTTCTGTCTCCAGGCCTGCTACAGAAAATACAGCAAGAAGCCCTGCTAGGGAATCAGAAGGTATTCACTGACAGCCAGTTCACTTCCCTCTTGCAAAATTTATCAACCTTTTTCTCCTGCTAAGTGGCTGGAAGACTCTGATTTGCAGGTATGTAGAAATCTTACATGACATGCTGCACTGTTCTACCACAGAATACAGTGGGAAGCAGAAATGCAAAATATGCATGTGATGTTTTTGCAAAAATAATTGGCCAACCATTTTCAGAATTTTTTTTAGCTAGGAGGAAGAACATTGGCTCACAGTCACAAGCTGTTGGAGGAATCAGATAGATGTGTCTAGTATGGGGTGAAAGAGAAATGCATACAAGTCACACTCGCTGCAGTAGAAGGCAGAGCCTTGGTACACAACTTTGATTGTGTGGCTGCATTCTGCCTTAAAGTGTTTTAAATCTCATACCTGAAAACTAATCATTTAACTGTATAAAAATGTATGTAAAAGAATGCTAGTTATGAGTTGTATCTGACTCTAGTAAACAGTAAAATCCAATCAGAAGGGGTCATTTCATTTTTGTGCTGCAGGACCCGCCACCCCAAAAAGAGCAGTTCAGCAATCTTCGCATATCTTATAATGTCCTTTTCAATTCCGAAATACACACTCTATTTATTTTATACACAGCACAGTCAGATTTGATTCTCTGTTTGCAGTCGGATCTATTACCCACTCTTTTTACTGCAGAATGCACACAGATAGCCCAGTCCAAATGTAGGATGTTGTTGTTGTTTATCCGTTCAGTCACTTCCGACTCTTTGTGACCTCATGGACAAGCCCATGCCAGAGCTCCTTGTCGGCTGTGGCCACCCCCAGCTCCTTCAGAGTCAAGCCAATCACTTCAAGGATACCATCCATCTATCTTGCCCTTGATCGGCCCCTCTTCCTTTTTCCTTCCATTTTCCCCAGCATCATTGTCTTCTCTAAGCTTTTCTGTCTTCTCATGATGTGGCCAAAGTACTTCATCTTTGCCTCTAATATCCTTCCCTCCAATCAGCAGTCAGGCTTTATTTCTTGAAGTATGGACTGGTTGGATCTTCTCACAGTCCAAGGCACTCTCAGAATTTTCCTCCAGCACCACAGTTCAAAAGCATCTATCTTCCTTCGCTCAGCCTTCCTTATGGTCCAGCTTTCACATCCATAGGTGACTATGGGGCATACCATTGCTTTAACTATACGGATCTTCATTGCCAGTGTGATGTCTCTACTCTTCACTATTTTATCGATATTGGACATTGCTCTCCTCCCAAGAAATAAGTGTCTCCTGATTTCCTGGCTGCAGTCTACATCTGCAGTAATCTTTGCACCTAGAAATACAAAGTCTGTCACTGCCGCCACGTTTTCTCCTTCTATTTGCCAGTTATCAATCAGTCCGGTTTCCGGAATCTTGGTTTTTTGATGTTTAGGTGCAACCCAGCTTTTGCACTTTCTTCTTTCACCTTGATTAGAAGGCTCCTCAGCAACTCCTCCCTTTTGGCCATCAAAGTGGTATCATCTGCATATCTAAGGTTGTTAATGTTTCTTCCAGCAATTTTAACCCCATCCTTGCATTCCTCAAGCCCTGCACATCGCATGATGTGTTCTGCATACCAGTTGAATAGGTTGGGTGAGAGTATACAACCCTGCCGTAACCCTGCCAAATGTATGATACAACATTATATTAACCTTACTTTTGATTTCACAGTACATTTACAACAGTGGTTCCCAGCCTTTTTTTGACCAGGGACCACTTGAACAGGGACCACCTTGATAAGGGACCACTCTCCAACATTAGTACCAAAAGGGTTACAAATTAGTTTTTGGTCAACTTTAGATTTGGTTTGATTATCTGGGGTGCTGATTCAGAAAATTGCATTGACTAGACCACATCAGCTCTAGTTTCTGATATAGAACATATGCCAACCAGTAGTCACCATCTGCTTGCCCACAGAACACCATATTTAATAAGCCTCAGCACTATAAGAGGGTTTTGCGAGACCAGTCACTCTTGTTGCAACAGCATTATAACTGTGAGGCTGTGGGTCATATTTTAGTTTTTGCGGACTACTGATGGTCCACGGACCACAGGTTGGGGATCACTGAGTTACAGAATATGTTGTAATATTTGTGAACCATTAAAATTTAATTAAGCAAATTGCTACTCTTAAAAATTAATTGCAATGTATGTACTATCTACAATATAGTAGTTTAGGTACTAGTTTCCTAGTCTCCATCTCCCAAATTAAGCCAATTAATCCATATCCAAGAGTGAGATCCAGACTTCAGAGCAAATCACATAAGACTTTAAAGATGTTTTCAGCAACTAAGTTTTCCTGTTATTCTGGGATGGCCAACTAATCCATATACAGGATTAGACTGGATCCCATTCTTGGTGCCTCAAATACTGGCCCATTTCAAATTCCTGGCAGATCTAGTTAAAATTTATGTGGGAATGATCTGCCTCTGAAGCTATAGATCACCAAGCATCACACATGGAGACATACTTGCCATTAACTGGACGCAATTGAAAAAAAATGCATAATACAATGTTTTCCAACAGTCTTGAACTGCATTTCTATTGTTTTCCAGCATAGCAGGGCGTTGGACTAGATGGCCCATGTGATCTCTTCCAATTCTATTATTCTATGATTCTAACCTTTGTGAACCTTTTCTTTGTGACAGATGGCCAACGAAGCGAATCCTTGCCCATGCAAACTTGGAGACAAGTTTGACTACGAAGGGCAGGGACGTGAAGTTTCTGTCGGACACATCAGGGCTTATCTTGCCAAGCCCCCTCATCATACAGACAAAGCGGTCATAGTGATACATGATGTTTTTGGATGGCAGTTACCAAATACAAGATATATAGCTGATATGCTTGCATCTAATGGCTACATGTAAGAACATTTTCATGATTTTTCTCAGTCATGCCTTATCAAACTGTAATGCCTTATCAAACCAAATACCAGATACATAGCTGACATGCTTACATCTAGTGGATACACGTAAGAAAATCTCCATGATTCTTTTGTCATACCATATCAATTTGGTACCTTATCCAACTTTTAAAATCTTATATACAATGTGTGCAAAAAGGAAATTTAATATCTTTTTCTGTGTTTGTAGACATATATACAAAGCAACAGAACAAACTATGCAGAACAATCTATTTTGAATAATAATACAAGAATTATGTACAATGTGACCTAAAAGTTTTGCAGTGTTAATGGGGAGAGGGGGAGAGGGCAATAAAAAATGGAGGAGGTTTCTCCACCTCCAATCATACAAACAGCAAAATACCTGGAACATTTGAGCTGAGAGGAGCTGCGGTGGCGCAATGGGTTAAACCCTTGTGCTGGCTGAACTGCTGATCTGAAGGTTGGCAGTTCAAATCTGCGAGACTGGGTGTGCTCCCATCTGTCAGCTCCAGCTTCCCATGCAGAGCTGGGAAGCTAAAGCTTGCAGTTTCATAATTCGCTTCTGACACAATAAAAAAACTGAGCTGAGAAGTAGCTTCTTCCTCACTTGAAGCTGTGGTTAAAACTTCTAGATGTTGATGCAGTATTCTTCCCATTATCACTTATTACTGGCCAAACTGGCAGGGGCTAATCAAGTTGGAGTTTAACCAGTTCTGGAAGATAACCGTTCAACTCCCCTTTCTCTTCCATAGGTGCTATATAACCTCATGATAAGCCTAAACATTGCAGTTAAAAATTAACTCCCAAACCCTGGGTCCACTTATTCATGGGTCAATTTAAGTACAAGCAGTCCTTGTGTTATAAACAAGATTGGTTCTCTAGGTTCAATCTTATGATGAATGTGTATATGAGTTTGAACAGGTACATTTACATGGAAGTCAGAACAGGCCCTGCATTCACGACTGGCAGGTGTGCGAAGGGAGTGCAGCCACACACAGTGTGTAATGTGGAGTGGCAAAAGGTGCTCATTACAGATGCTGCATGCTTTGAATTATTTCTTTAAACACAAATGTTTGGGAATGAGTAACTCATCATTCAAGGACATGCAATTGTGAAAAAAAGGAAAGCAGGGGCAGAAGAGAGGGGAGAGATACACACACACTTTGGCTCAGCACTGAGATTTCATGGCAAGAAGGAAGGGGGAAAGCCATTCATAACTAGGAGTCATATGTAAGTCAGATATTAATAACTGGAGGACTGCCTGTACTGTATTTTAATTCTTATTGTTTACTGCGAGAGAACGGCAAAAGGCCGATCTCCAACCTCCCTTTTTTGGGTAAGGTGCTGGAGCAGGTGGTCGCCCTCCAGCTCCAGGGCTTCCTGGATGACATCAATTACCTAGATCAGGCACAGTCAGGTTTCAGGCCTGGTCACGGCACCGAGACAGCCTTGGTCGCCTTGGTGGATGACCTCCGTAGAGGACTGGACAGGGGGAGTGTGACCCTGCTGGTTCTCTTGGACATCTCAGCGGCTTTCGATACCATCGATCATGGTATCCTTCTGGGTCGCCTCTCTGGGATGGGTCTCGGGGGCACGGTTCTGTCGTGGCTCCGGTCCTTCCTGGAGGGACGAACCCAGATGGTGAAGCTGGGAGATGCCTGCTCGGATCCCTGGCCTTTGACCTGTGGGGTCCCGCAAGGCTCTATTCTTTCTCCCATGCTTTTTAACATCTACATGAAACCGCTGGGAGAGGTCATCCGGAGTTTTGGAGTTGGGTGCCATCTCTATGCAGATGACACACAACTCTACTACTCTTTTCCACCCAACTCCAAGGAGGCCTCTCGGGTGCTAGACGAGTGCCTGGCCGCTGTGTCTATCTGGATGAGGACGAACAAGCTGAAGATTAATCCCGACAAGACAGAGGTCCTCCTGGTCGATCGTAAACCAGATCGGGGTATAGGGTGGCAACCTGTGTTGGACGGGGTTACACTCCCCCTGAAGCCACAGGTCCGTAGCTTGGGAGTCCTCCTGGATTCATCGCTCACGCTTGAGGCTCAGGCTTCGGCGGTGACCGGGAGGGCTTTTGCACAACTGAGACTTGTGCGCCAGCTACGTCCGTACCTCGCTAAGGCTGATCTGGCCAGGGTGGTCCATGCCTTAGTCACCTCTAGACTGGATTACTGCAATGCGCTCTACGTGGGGCTGCCCTTGAAAACGGCTCGGAAATTCCAACTGGTCCAACGGGCAGCAGCCAGGATGTTAACTGGGGCCATTACAGAGAGAGGTCAACCCTCCTGTTCAAGGAGCTCCACTGGCTGCCGTTTATTTTCCGAGCCCAATTTAAGGTGCAGGTGCTTACCTACAAAGCCCTGAACGGTTTGGGACCACCCTACCTGCGTGACCGCATCGCTGTCTACGAACCCACACGCTCACTCCGGTCATCTGGAGAGGCCCTGCTCGTGATCCCGCCCGCGTCACAAGCGCGCTTGGTGGGGACGCGAGACAGGGCCTTCTCCGTGGTGGCCCCCCGCCTCTGGAACACCCTCCCGAAAGATCTCAGACAAGCCCCTACACTGGCAGTCTTCAGGAAGAATTTGAAAACCTGGCTGTTCCAACGTGCCTTTTCAGATTAGGAATCTCCCAGTACCAAATCCTAGAAGCACTTTAGTACCAAAATCACCGCACACTGCACACTGCACTTATATCATAATCCCATACTCCTCCGACACATCAGCACTTTTTAACCTTGTACCCTACTCTGGCCGACCCAGTTTTTTAATATTGTCTTACTGTATTGCTACAGTTATTGTTTTTCTGCTTAACTGTTTTTATTTGCTAGATATTGTATTGTTGTTTTGTGTTGGGCTTCGGCCTATTGTAAGCCGCATCGAATCCTGCAGGAGATGCTAGCGGGGTACAAATAAAGTTATAATAATAATATAATAATAAAAGATTAGAACATAGTCCCTCCAAGGTTAACCTAAAAGAAACACCGACTTCATCTGCTCTCTTTACTATAGCATTGTTACTGACTTTTAAAAATCTCTAAGTTGAACAAAGGCAGCTTGTTGTTGTTTATTTGTTCAGTCGCATCCGACTCTTCGTGACCTCATGGACCAGCCCACGCCAGAGCTCCCTATTAACCGTCACCACCCCCAGCTCCTTCAGAGTCAAGCCAGTCACTTCAAGAATACCATCCATCCATCTTGCCCTTGGTTGACCCCTCTTCCTTTCTCCCTCCACTTTCCCCAGCATCATTGTCTTCTCTAAGCTTTCCTGTCTAAACTTGTATTTTCCATATAGAGCAATTGTCCCAGACTTCTATAAAGGACAAGAACCTTGGAAACCATCTAATGACTGGGCAGGATTTGAGGATTGGAGAAAAACACGAGATTCCAAAGATACCAACAGGTAAGAGTCCAGGTCAAGTGGTAGTTATTCTTCTTTGGAAATTTCAGCTGATGGGATGCCTGTTGAGTTTAAGCTGTAGACCTCAAAGAGAAGCAGCAAGAGTTACCATATTTTCCGGCGTACTAGATGACTTTTTAGGCTTGAAAAATCTTATGAAAAGTCGGGGGTTGTCTAATATGCTGGGTATAAAATTAAAATAATAATAATTAAAAGAAAAAATACAACTACCTTAGGAAGGATGGAGGGAGGGAGGAGAAGGCGGGCAGAGGGAAGGCACAGGGAGAAGGAGCAGCAGGCCATATTGCTGGGGGTGATCGCCTGCTGGGCTGTCCCCATGGCCCCCGCCGCTCTCCTTGCTCTACTTTCATGGCCCTCCTCTGTCCTCGACACTCACCTCCTTCAAAGGTCACTGGGCTCGTCTAGGCCCAAGGAAGCGCTTTCAGACGACTCCCAGCAGCCCCGGCAGCGGGCCTGGGATGTGGTCGCTGAGGCATTCTGGGAGCCGTAGTTTCCTGAGTCCTGCGGCTCCCAGAATGCCTCCGCAAGCACATCCCAGACATGCTGCTGCCAGGGCTCCAGGGAGTCATCTCCGAAGGCGCTTCCTTGCACTTCTGGATGACGACTCCCAGCAGCCCTGGGCGGTGATGTGCCTGGGAAGCGCTTGTTGAGGCATTCTGAGAGCCATAGGAGTCAGGAAACCACGGCTCCCAGAATACCTCAGTAAGCGCATCCCAGGCATGCTGCTGCCGGGACTGCAGGGAGTAGTCGTCTGAGAGCCATAAGTCACCAGGTCTGCTGGGAGTCATCCAAGGCCGCTTCCTTGCACCTTCGGACGACGACTCTCAGCAGCCCCGGCAGCAGTGTGCCTGGGATGTGCTCACTGAGGCATTCTGGGAGCTGTAGTCCCCTGACTCCTACAGCTCCCAGAATGCCTCAGCAAGCACATCCCAGGCACGTCGCCTCCCAGGGCTGCTGGGAGTCGTTGTCCGGAGGCGCAAGGAAGTGCCTTCAGATGATGACTTTCTGCAGCCCTGGCAGCAGAATACCTGGGATGTGCTCACTAAGGCATTCTGGGAGCTGTAGTCCCGACTCCTACGGCTCCCAGAATGCCTCAGCAAGCACATCCCAGGCACGCTGCCACCTGAGGCTGCTGGGAGTCATCTTCTGGAGGTGCTTCCTTGGACCTAAGGCAAGCCCAGTGGCCTTTGGAGGAGGTGAGCAGCGGGGTGGAGGAGGGCCTTGAAAGTAGCGTGGGTAGAGCAGCAGGGGCCGCGGGGACAGCCCAGCAGGCCATCACCCCTAGCTGGTCTCCATGGAATGCGGAGTCATCTGAAATGGCGAGTATATCCCTAACTCTGTATTTTGTGTTGAAAAGTTGGGGGTTGTCTTATACCCCCAGTCGCCTTGTACGTTGGAAAACACGGTATATTGATAGATCCCAATTAGCTTTGAATATATTCCTAGGAGAATACTGTATCTGTATGTATCTTCCCTATTTGTGGAATAATTAGCCTAATGCTACCTAATGCCATAACTGTTACATTGTGATCTAAGCCATACACTGACTAGAACCACTCTGATATCATACAAGACTTAAAAGTATGAGACAAAGACAGGTAACTGACCATCAGTGTTTCTAAATGGTACATGAAATTTACTCACAACTCCTTGAAAGAGCGGAGTTTTTGTGAACTTGAAAAAGGTTATGAGACTCATACCTATGTGTAGACTATAATGTTATCAGTAATTGTTTTGAAATTAATTTGTTCATTCACTTACATTTTTGTGTCTTAGGGAAACTGATGTTGTCTTGAAGTACCTGAAGGAACAATGTAATGCTAAGAAGATAGGTGTTATTGGATTTTGTTGGGGTGGAGCTGCAGTTCATCATTTGATGTTGAGATATTCTGAATTTAAGGCTGGCGTATCAATTTATGGTATGTGTCAGGTATGATGGGGTCTGTACAAATTGCTAACCCTGCATGCATTGCATAGAAAGAAGTTGACATTTCTTGGTTGAAGCATGTTTTTGACTGGAAAAAATGGAGCCATTAAGGTGTTTTACTTCCATACCCTTTCACAAATATAGCCAGAGAACTGTATGGTAATCATATATAAACTGGTGCTAATTATAGGCTTCGCATAAGTACTAGTAATTGAAAGCGGGGGAGATATGCAGGTCAAAATATACGTTTTCCAACTGGAAACTTGCTAATATTAAAAGGTGTGACATCAAAGATATAAAGCTCAATGGAAGAGTTGTGTGTATTGTTCAATGTAGCTGTTTTCTCAAATGTACTCTAGGAGTCGTCCGGTTTCAAGAGAAAAATTATGACATGAAGAACCCCACATTTTTCATTTTTGCAGAGAAAGATGACGTCATTCCTCTTGACCAAGTAAGGTGTTTTCTCAAACTTACCAAACTGTACATCAGAAAGTGTAAACATGATGTACTAGGCTGGGAAAATTAACAGTGGAAAACCAATTCGATGATCCAATGTATCTCTCTTTCTTGATTCCAAAGTATTTTGGATATTCTAGTGGACACAACTAATAATCCCTTATCTGTAAGTCATTGGGTGTATTTATATATACCATTATCAGTCTGCTCACTAATAAAACAGTTACAACTGTTTTATTCTAAATTAAATTTCCTTCTTAAATAGTAGAAGAATAACTAGACCATATTTCATAAGTTAAGGTAAAGGTTTCCCTTTGATATAAAGTCTAATCGTGTCTGACTCTGGGAGGTGGTACTCATCTCAATTTCTAAGCCAAAGAGCTGGCGTTGTCCATAGACGCCTCCAAGGTCATGTGGCCAGCATGACTGGATTGAGTCCCATTACCTTCCCGCTGAAGCGATACCTATTGATCTACCCACATTTGCATGTTTTCAAACGGCTAGGTTGCCAAAAGCTGCTCCCTGGATTAAAACCACCAACTTTTCGGTCAGCAAGTTCAGTAGCTCAGTGGTTTAACCCGCTGCGCCACTAGGAGCGCCATCTTTCATACTTGATATTTTATGCCTAAACTGAGATGATAAAACTATTGAGAATCAGATTAAAGGGAACAAAGTGGTGATATGCATGTGGCCAAAAAAGGTACAATGTAGGTTAGCTGATTTTGGCAGCAAAATAAACTAGATCTGACTATGTTATTTCATGTCACAAAATAGCATCAGGAGTTACAACACTTTAAAAACAAGTACTATTTTTAAAAGGGACGCAGTAAAAGAAAAATAGTGAACTGACTTCTTGTCCTATGGGCTGTACAGAGTTCACCATATCTTGAAGTGGATAAGATTGCTTTGCAATTTGTTTCAGAATAGGTGTCAAATCTGAGGTCTAACAAGCTAGAATGTACTTTCTGAAAAATGGAGATGGGTCCTGTCAATCATGGGATGACACTAAATCAGAAGCTGCTTTCTGTTGTAGGTTGCTGAACTGGAGCAGAACCTGAAAAAAGAATGCAAAACCGATTTTGAAGTGAAAATTTATCCAGGACAAACCCATGGCTTTGTACATCGCAAAAGAGAAGACATCAACCCTCAAGATAGGCCTTTCATTGAAGAAGCAAGGAAGGACATGCTTAATTGGCTGAACAAATACATTTGACAGTCTGTTATATGTTAATACCATCAAGCATCAAGGCATTTTCTTAATGAAGAATCGCAATGTTGAGCACATCTCACATTACTCTGATAATGCTACAATGATTTCAGAATAATCAATGCTGATCTTGCTGCTGCCATCACCTATCTAACCCAAGATCAAATGCATCTTGTGTGACCCTTTGGTGCCTATTTCTAGAAATAAATTGGTTCTTTGCATTTGCTATATGATACTAAGAAATGTTATCAGCTTTTCACATTGAGTCCTCTATACATTAGTTTTAAATGAACCAAAAATACTAATCAATGTGAAACAGATGCTAGATAGAAAATAATTTTGCCAGATCACTTTTTTCATGTTTCATCTTAGACAACTAGAATAGACTTTTCAACCTACCAAGATAAAAGACTATGTATTGTCGAAGGCTTTCATGGCCGGAATCACTGGGTTGTTGTAGGTTTTTTCCGGCATTCTCTCCTGACGTTTCGCCTGCATCTATGGCAAGCATCCTCAGAGGTAGTGAGGTCTGTTGGAACTAGGAAAATGGGTTTATATATCTGTGGAATGACCAGGGTGGGACAAAGAACTCTTGTCTGCTGGAGCTAGGTGTGAATGTTCCAACTGACCACCTTGATTAGCATTTGATGGCCTGGCAGTTGTTTGGTGTGGCTTGTTGGTGCCTGAGGCAATCTTTTGTTGAGAGTTGATTAGATGTCCCTGATTGTTTCTTTTCTGTTGTTTTGCTGTTGTAATTTTAGAGTTTTTGTAATACTGGTAGTCAGATTTTGTTCATTTTCATGGTTTCCTCCTTTCTGTTGAAATTGTCCACATGCTTGTGGATTTCGATGGCTTCTCTGTCTAGTATGACATGATGGTTGCGAGAGTGGTCCAGCATTTCTGTGTTCTCAAATAAAATGCTGTATCCAGGTTGGTTCATCAGGTGCTCTGCTATGGCTGACTTCTCTGGTTGAAGTAGTCTGCAGTGCCTTTCATGTTCCTTGATTCGTGTTTGGGCATTGCTGCGTTTGCATTCAGAGTTCTTTGTCCCACCCTGGTCATTCTACAGATATATAAACCCATTTTCCTAGTTCCAACAGACCTCACTACCTCTGAGGATGCTTGCCATAGATGCCGGCGAAATATCAGGTGAGAATGCCTCTAGAACATGGCCATAGAGCCCGAAAAAACCTACAACCCAGTAACAGACTATGCATCTGAACGGGTTATGCTTCGCAAACCTTTATCTCCATGTCTTTCCTAAACAGAAAGCAAACATTCCACAGCCAAGTTGGCTCCATTTGAATGCAAGATCCTGTTCCTAGCATATATCAAGTTCCAGCTTTTAAAAGGGGCTAATGTTGTAGTTATATGTAGAGTGGCTTGCATAAAGTGAGGTCCCTTTTACACTGACACTATGGTAACACTTGGAGCCAGTTTCGGGGAAACTGGTTTGCTTTGATCAGATTTTCTTGTGCTTTTTAAAATGCACTGTTTCCTATTTAAACCATGCTACAGCACATATAGATAAGTGTACATTTTGTGCCCACCATCAATGGTCTCGAGTCAACTTGGAACTGCTTTATATAGTCAGTGTTAGATGGCCCTGAGACACATTTCTCTTAGCAGGGATTATTTCACTTTTGCCAGAATAAAATGCAACACTCTCCTGAAAACAAATAAACAACCAAAGAACTAAACATGTTTGTCAATACTAATAGCCAAGCTGTTTATCTTCGAGATTTATATCTGTTTTCTAGTTCAAAAGTTTCAAAACAATTTTTTTTGTGTTTCAAACTGGAAAGTAAAAATAGTTGGTTGATTACATTAGTTTTGACTGCTACTCAGAAGAAATGCTTTCTGCCCATATGTATTCTGGCTCTTTGGATATTGGTGAATATTTTTCATTACGCAAACAGAAATGATCCTATGAACATGAGGAATTTTTATAACTTGTGATATCCTGATATTTCCATGGGATCAGCAAATACCCCAACAGTTATTAAATATAAGCTTTTTTATTAGACTGTAAGAGCTTTATATGTATGCTAAAGTATTTGTTCTTTGAAGTCATGATTTTTGATTCATTATTAAATTTTCCCGTAATGCCATGTATTCCTCATCTTCACTGGCAGATCAGATTTGGCTGAGATTCATCAGTATCAAGAAAAATATAACTTCTCAGTGGTTTAAAATAAATATAGTAGTTCGTCCTCTATAAAATATAATTTTTAAAAGGCAGCCTCAGAGATAATGTGCAGCTAGCTGCCCATCTAAGCTGTTCTGTGTATATTTTACAATATCTTCATTTCTGTAATGTCTCAAAATTAATTTGTGGTAGAACCGTATGTGTTCATTTACATACAAGTGTATATTAATAGTCCAGGCAGTAGCAGGGATATATTTTTTAATTGTTGAGGTAAAAAAACAAGCTATTATTATAATGAGATTTTGCACCTTCTCGTTTATTTCAGGACTGCACTCCAGTAACATTTCATCAGCCTCTCAATTTTACTATCACTCCCAAAAGACTGTTAAGAAAATCCAAATAATATTCACCTGAACATTTGAAATTTATTACAGATTTATAAAGTCTGTTATTTATTACACCACTGAGCTTGAAAGCAGACAGGTTGTGCGCGCCCATGAATGTATATAAAGTCAACAAATAACTTATTAAAAACTATCATAGTTCGATATTCTTTACATCATGAGAAAAGAAATAAGGAATGGTTTCCATAGCAATTTTCACAACTTTAGCTTACACACAAATTGGTGCACAGAGAGAATTGCGTAATCCAAGCAATTTTGAATATATGTAAATATCATGAAGCCTCCGCCTTAGATTCTACCTGCATCAGGCATTTGCATATATAAACTGAACTGCCCGTTTCATAATTGCAAAAGAGAAGGGTTTGCAACATTTGATTTCAACAGGTTTCTTCCTTTCGATTCACATATCAAGACAATGCAAAAACCAAATCGGATGTGAACAACTGATAATTGTAATTTCAAAACAACAGCTGTGAGTTCAGCTCAATGTAAGACATGCCAATATTTTGCAAAACCAGCAAATGGAATACCAGATCCATTAATGTGTACATGGCATTTTTCACCAAGCAACAGAAGGACCAATCACTTAAGAACAACACACTGTATGAAAAGAGCAAAGTGAGAATAAATCTTTCTGCACTCATGAATTGTGAACAAGAAGGCTGATAGAAAAAGACATTGCATTCTACAACCACATGCGGCATTACCTGCACGTCAGCTTATGCAGATGATGTGAAACCCCTTCCCAGAACAAGAGGTGAAAGGAAATGTGCATCTAAACTGTGCTTGATTTGCTGAGTATGACTCCACCTCCACATGGATTCACTTTGCACTAGCATGAATTTCCTACTCCCTTTGGACACAGTGGCCTATGTGCATGCTGGCAAGCTGTCTCAAAATGTCTGTTCGTGTGAAGCAACATAATTTTTTTAAAAAGATATCAATATTGGTATAGCAGCAGCATGAACATTATTTTGGCTATGCAAAGAAAAGTCCCAATCATGCAGGAAGCAATTATTTGACATAACTTCACCACATGTATAGAAAAGGGAGTGGGCTTTTCCTTTGGGATGTTTGGAAAAGGCACCATTGTGCTAAGATTTTAGGCATTTTGGTAAATAAGTATTCACCCACATTACCATGAAGCAAAATTCCACCCTGCCTTTGATGAGACATATCTGGAAGTTTGGCTGGTTATGTTGTCATTAGTAAGCTAAAATAGTTTGTATATACATGCAGAGCAAGTAAACCAACTGTCTAAGTGAAGAACAAGAGGTACAAAAATGTTATGGGCTACTTTATTTAATCCTATGCCTCTGCGTATAGCACCTTAAAATTCTAGTATGGTCTGAGATGTCTCATGTTACAATTTTTAACTACTAAGAAGCCAATTCCAAATCCTTCTCATGGTACCAAGTCATAATGCAGCAATACTTTATATGTTCCTGTATTCACAAGCCCAATATAGATAGTTTTCCTCAAGATTTCCTGCACAATAATAAAAGGCTGCTTGAAGCATTCCAGGCAAAGTCAAGGAACCAATGGAACACAACAAATATAGCTGACTAAATATCTACCCTCAGGTAGCACCCAGGTTGCATTCCCAGTGATGAGCATCAATGTTGGTTTGAGAAGCTGCCCACTAAGACAAGTTGAAACAGAGGATGGCATGTACACGTCGGCCCTTTATAGCAAAAAACTGATAGGATCCAAGAAGAAAGAACAGTATTGATATTTTTTTAAAAAAATCCAAATACAATAATGGTGGTTCAGTGACTTGGCAACCAGAATTTCTTCCTTCCTTAACCCAAACTGATGTAAATTCAATGTATTTTTTTTTTATCACCATGAGCCCAGCACAGCTCTGCACACAACCCTAAATAAAGAATGAGAGAAGCAGGTTTCTATTCAAAAAGTAATTACAGACTGGAAACGGAATAAATCTAACCCATTCATTTCGCACCTAGAACATTATGAACAAACTATGGCTGCAAACTTAATGATTCACCCACTGCACTGTCCACAAGGTGCCTTATAGGTCAATACTGCTCATGTGATTGACACTATATGACCTAAAATATAATCTGGGCAAATGAATATAATTTGCACCCTTGTTCATTCACACGTCACCCATAACAACCCAATGCTAATTATTTTAGTTGATAATTTTTATTGTCAATAGTTCATTTCAGGTTCTAGGCCAACATGATTACAATATTTAGGGGGGAGTGGTTTTATATCACAGCAGGGGGCAAATTTGACAAAAACACCCCTGTGTTTCATCTTTCCATTCCACTTGTATGGAAGGATGGGACTTTGGGGAAAAGATCTGTTGTGGACCAGTAAGTTCAGTCACGCTCTCCCCTAATGGGACTCTTAACTATGTGAGGAGATCACCTGCATAGAGCCATTTTTCCCCATCTAACCTTGTACCAAGAGTATGGCCGAAATGGAAAAGAATTCACTTGACACAGGTGTCGGTGCTAGGTACCACTTGTTAACTTGCTATAGTTCTAAACACAAGTACTCCAAGTAATCAGAGGTTGGCTATGGAGTTACGTTTCATTAGAAAATATGCTCATTCACACAAAACTGGTTGCACACCATCTCTCACCACATACTGTTACAATAATAACGGAAAAATGGTTTTCATCTGCTGTTTCCACAAAGGAACTTTTGAGCAGACTTGAGTAGAATGAATTTTGTCAAAAATGATCCTGAGCACACCGATAGCAGCTTCACTTCCACTTTTCAGCAGCATAATTTCACACTGATGTCTTCAATCCTGTACATCAAAGTAGTCAATTACTGGCTCCTCTTTGGACGCTCTCTCTGTGCTGACATTCCTAGAAGTAACAAAAGGCCGTTGTTCTTTTTAAAAATGATTTGCAAATATACGTACAAACGTTCTATTCAAAGCAGGAATGGGACTTTCCTACTGATCCCTGTTTTTGGTCATAGGGAATCACTCTTGACTGATCCTGTAGTAGTTCCTCTCATTCAGCAAACAGAGTCACCAAAGGGAAAGGGCTCCCTCTCTGTTCCCCAATGAGGACTAGAAACTGAAAAAAGCCCCTCGGTTTTAAGATAACACTCACTTCTTAAACTGGCCCTTTTCTGCCTAGGATGTTTTTATGCGACCCCTGGGTAGTGATAGAGAGCAGGTATCAAAATCAAATGTTTACTAATAACAAATCAGCACATCACTCCCATGCTCCACTGGCTGCCTGTGTGTTTCCAGGCCCAATTCAAATTGCAGGTTATCACCTATAAAGCCTTCTACAGTTCTGGTCCATCCTATTTGCATGACCACATCTCCCCCTATGTACCCATTCGGGCATTAAGGTCCTCCAGGGAGGCTCTTCTCATGCTCCCACTACTCTCACAAGTGCAGCTGGTGGGAGCATGGGAAAGGGCCTTTTCATTGGTGGCGCCCCAGCTCTGGAATGCCCTTCCCAAAGAAATCAGACAGGCCCCCTCTCTAGATATCTTCAGGAAAGAATTGAAAACATGGATGTGGAAGCACACCTTTGGAAACAATTAACTATAGCTTATTATGATGGTGGCTTTTATAGTTGTACAAACTCCAACTGGTTTGAACTGGTTTTGCCCTGGTGCACCATTTAAAACCTGCCAAATTTAATCTGTGTATTTATTATGATATTATGTTAGCTTTATTGTTTTTTAATTTTGTTGATATGTATTATGTATTATATTTTTACTCTTGCTTGGTTTTATATTTATTTGTTGTAAGCCGCCCCAAGTCCTTTTGGAGGGGGAGCGGGATATAAATACATTTTTTTATTATTAGATGAATATCGAATTATACTAAGACTTACTTATCAACTATTGTATCAGAAGAAAATTAGTTAGCATAGTGTGCTTAGTACAACCCACCAGGACCAGTATCCARTGTTTCATCTCCCCACCTCTGACAAAATATGTCATTTCTAGGAATTTTCTAGGTCCTCCAACTKTATAAGAACCTCTGGTGAAAATAATTCATATCAATATCCATGATTTCCTGTTTCTGCATAAGTTCAGAAACATATCCTCATGGTTATTGGTGTGTGGCGGGGGGGGGGGGGTGTATTGTGGAAAGGGCTTCTCTACGGCTGGATCTACACTGCCATATAATCCAGATTATCAAATCAGATAAACTGGATTTTACATAACATTGTACAAGAGGGCTAAGAGTGAGTGAACAACCATCCCACTGGTGCCATTCGCCACTTGCCTCTGTTTGTTGGCCTAGAGGGGGTAACATTGCATCAGTCAAGACTGTTCAACACTGATAAGCAAAAGAAACCATACTTACTTCTCTGATTGTTTATGATGAGGAATAGGAGGTGGGGGTCTAGTCTGCCTCTCCTTGGTAAGCAACGATGTCAGTGTAACTGTCGGACAGACTGATTTCCCTCTGAAGAAAGAAAGCCACAATGTCAACAAGATTATCATATATTCCCTACCAGACTGAGCCAGATTGCAAGTCTCACCCCCTCGTATTCTGAAATATGAGAATTTCAAGGGTAAGAAGAAAGGGATTTTCTTATATAGC